AAACTTCTTTTGCAAGTTCTCTTTTTATTAGGCACGCACTTTATACTGAAAAAGACGTTCACGGCACGGCACAACAAAGTTACAAAATCTACACGAAACTACCACTACATTCAAGTATTCACAGACCTGCAATCACACATTTAACTCTGCAGTAGTTAGCAACAGTGATTCGATCGCCACGGTCTCTCGCAGGTTCCTTCTGCAGCGTGAGCTGCTCTACGCATGCGCTACCGAGCTGCGGTGCTTTAACACCGATGCCGCCCACACCGCTCATCTTAAGATAAATGCGCTGTCCCTTGTGACCTTCTACAATAACTCTACCATAAAGAAACATGCACCAGCAAGTTTTCGGCAATCCGAAATTGTATAACCGAAAGTATAGCAGCCCGATTTTACCTTTGGTCACTCGGGAGCCCAAAGAACTTGGCAGAGCTGTTGCCACTGGAATTAGAGCACCACTGAGTCGAGCAATAGACAACGTTCCGTTTCCTCCGTGTACTGGTAGAAGAAATAGACCGATAACCAATAGGTCAACGCCACTGCCCGCTGCCGCAAATGAAAACCACCACCGCACCGCCAGTACAGGCGCCGTCGAGCAGCCGACGCAGCCGCGACCGCGGCAGCCGACGCGGAACTGGTCTCAACGGTCAAAATACAAAAAGCAACCGGCCAATGAGAGCAAAGTATGAGGGCGAAACTTTAGCTAACCAAAATATTTGTTTCACCTTACCAGGATAATTTTTGAAATCTGTAAGCAGCAACAATAATATGTACCTCATCCTATTAAATAAACTTTCAGGCGTAAACCGGAACAACTTAAAGGGCAACTCCACTCCATTTTTACAATTTTTGGGTTATGATCTGTTTAGTCGAAGCCGGCGGCCCTGAATCACGAGATATAATTTGTTTTTCGGTAGTGTGTATAGTTTTGTAGATATCGCGAATCCAAGTATCGTTCCGGAGGCACGGCGAAACCGAAACTACCGGTTGAAGCAGCTTGGCAACAGTGATACTAGTGGCGTGTCGTCGGCATGACCTAGTTCTGGTCCCGCGCTTCTCAGCCGACGCGCCGACAAGGTCGGCTCAATAGCACGTGGAGTTTCAAAACAGAAGGTTAGATGCACATTTTCTTTTTTTACCGCTTCACTTTGTTAATATGCACCAAATGTAGTAAGTTTTAGTGTGTATTTATAAATTTTCCGGCCGAAAAGCGAATCCGACTGCTATAAATATGACGCGGTCGGTGCCGGCGCAGCGTGACTGTATTTGTTTTTTGCTCGCGGACCGAGAGAAAACGAAATAACGGGAGATAGACGGACAGATCTATCCACAAGTGGTCTAAGTTGCTAAGCTAAGGTGCCTTTATGTGCACGCTAGTTAGATCAGCCGCGACCTGCTGCGTCCGGCCGATCGTGCTGGAGCAGCCGGCGGACGGTACGCGAACAGCGATGGCACCGCATCGTTCTTCAAAGACGCATGTTTCGTGGAGAAACCCGCAACAGTCAGCAGCCGCAGATCCCGTGTGTAGGTGTCTGACGTAAAGTGCTGGGAGCAGAGCTTGCTGTGAGCAGAGCTTCGCGTTGGAGCTCAGAGTCAACGGTCTTCCGAAGTCTATCCGGCGAACGGCACCGACCCACACCTTGTGCCTCTTACGGTCTCTTGGGAACTGGTGGAACCGCAGCTCCGGGTTGCGCACCGGGTTTTCGGTGCAACCCAGGCCACTACAAATCCTGCTCGACATTGCCCAACGCGAGTACGGCAAGTCTCTCCGGCTCCACGACGCGCGCGTGAGCGAGCGGCACCGCTTCGCTCTCTTCCGCGCTGTCGCGGAAGCAATGCTGGAGTTAAAGGAACTGCCTGGAGGCTAATAAAAATAGGGAAACACAAAATAATGTGGTAAACACCTCGTGCCGTCAGCAGAATCGCAGAATGCCACGGGAAACGAAGCGCTCGCGGCGTCCGTACGAGAGCGTAGGACTAGAACTACGTCATTGCCCAGTGTTGCTTCACTAGCTCACCCGGTGCCAGCGTTGCTCACCCGCTTTCGGGCCGCTAACCGAGCCGGGAGAACATTTTTAATATTGGTTTTAATCGATAACGCGGCGTCGGTTTGACGTAATATTTTGGGTATGACCGTATTTTGACCTCCTAAAGCGATATCAGTCATTTCGATAGGGTCGACTTTTTGAGTGGAGTTGCCCTTTAATAGAATACCAAAGGATAAGAGATGGCGCTCAAATAGCTGACCGGAAGTCGCTCGAAGTTTCCGCCGGTTGACGAAACGGAACGGAAAAATAGTGTGCCTAGATTTGAGAGGGTTTCCAACCGTTCGATAGCCGCGTTTGAATTACGAACTGCGAGGTGACGAAAAGACGAAAGCGTCGATCGGGATTGGGCAGGCAGGGCAGGGACGGCAGGCGTCGTCGCCCTTCTGTTTGCTCGCCTTTTTCCCTGCGACAACACAACACATGCGCACTTAGGACCAATCTGCACTGGAGCCCTCTCCGTGGTTTCAGTTTCGCTTGCTCCCTCTTCTAAATCAAGGCTGTCTAAAACAGGACAAATATACGGAAAAATGGATGCATAGTGGCAGTTGGACGGTGTCTTGCGCGTGGACCTAACCACGTTTTTTTTTGTTTTTTTTATACTTCGGATTATATTGTTTAAGCCTGTTTACTCAGATTGAACACCTATCTGTTTATTTATGTGAAATAAAATCCCGGGTGCCCTTTTTCTTCCTTAAAATGAAAACCAAATATCGCAAAATGCCCCTTTTTTGAGATGTACAAATATTTATAAAAAAGAAAAAAGGCACGGTGTTAGGTGGTGCTTTTAAGAATAAAAAAAAGGCATGCGTGGCTGTAACTTTTTTTTTTTTTTTTTGCGACGTTTAGGTTAGATAGATTATATTTGTGCCATAAAATTAGATATTTAGTGCCCGACATCCAACAGCAACTGCTTTTATTTTTATTTTTTTTCTCTCACCAGAATTCTTTTACATTTTAGCTTCTGTTCCGTACAAGACGCATATTCTGCAATAGGCGGATACTCTGCACATATAATAATCTCATTCAGAGCACACTTTGAAAAATTCCTACAAATAAAATAATTATTCAATATTCGATTTAATATTCGGCTTTTTTTTTCTTGATTCGATTAGGTATTCGATTCGAAAACTGCTATTCGGTATTTGCACACCCCTAGTTAAAATTGTTTTACGGGAACTTAAACTTGCTTCTAAAGGCCCTTTTTTCGTTCTGTTCTTCATGGACATTTAAAAATAAACCAGGGCCTAAATACAAAATCAGGCGCCACAATATTGACCAAGACTTTTTGAATATATCTCTTATAAGATCTTTTTGCCAGAGATTCTCATTGCGGTAAAATTTAACTAAGTTTGTGGCCCATAAAAATGCCAGAAATCCAGCTGTCAGCTGGCGCCACCTATGAGCGTGTCGCTAATACTACCTCTTGAAATTGCGCAATGTGTTATTGAACCCCGGACGCTATTGGGCGATATGACTTAATGTTGCCTTTGTTTTCTCTGGTTTTATATATTAGTCTCATTTTACTTAATTTCCAATCATTGGGTACATGTCATCCCATAATTATTGGATTAATCACATGCCGTAACTTCAATTTGCTTTTTTCCTAGTGTCTTTATGAGTTCCATAGGTATGTCGTCTGGGCCTGTCACTACCTGCTGGAACCTTAAGTAAACAAATAGTCACGATGGCTATGGGGCTAATCACCTTAAACCAAGTATTGAGTTATTCTTTTGAGTTTCCATCTTGGTTTCAATTGTAATATGCATGCAGTTTTGGGCACCGATTTTGATGAACAAAAAGTGTGCGCTAATTGTGCAAACACGTATGTATTAACTCACGACAAAAGAGCAGTTTTTGTTTTTCCAAGCCTGAATTGCGAGTCATTTTTCTAGCGACCTTATCATTTCTGCTGCAGGAGCAAGGGTATTTTCTGCTGCAGGAGCAGTTGTCATGGCGAAAAGGGAGCGTTTATGTACTAAACATGTGGAACAATTCATTGTCTTGGATGATAATTTGCAATAATTGCATTTGGAGCCGATACCTAACTTGCTGGCTAGTCAAGGGCAATTTCATTTATTTTCTTAAAGGGTTCACTACCAGTTGCTTGTGTGACAACACTAGAGGTTGCCTTTTTACATGCTATTTAGGCATATACAATTTTGTACTCTTAATTTTGTCAATTTGTAAAACTTATCAATTGCACCTTTTGCCTGCTTTAATGTACAGTAAACAGGTGATTACTAGTCAAAGTATAATAGCTGTGTTACTAATTGGATTGCAATACATGCTGCTTGGTTGGGTAGTTTTGTTTACTTGAATTTGTTATAATTTTCGGTTAAACTTGTAATATAAAAAGTATTTGCATATATTGTTTGTCATTTCTTAGTGGTACAGATATTTGAAACATATTCAATTTTGAAGCTATTTTTTCCAATATTCATATTAAATTCATATTCGAAAATTTCAACATTCGCACACCCCCTAGTGAAAACTTCAGTTTAAAGTCTACAGTTACCAAGGTAGTAGTTAATAAGTAGCATTTCCAATCGGAAATTTGTTCTCGCACGCGGCACTCTGCAACAGTCTGGGCCACGTTGGAAGAAAGAGGCATCTAAACGGCGCCGCCTCACCACGGAGCAAGCGTGCACAAAGGTTTGCTCCCATTTCTGACAAACACCTCGAGATGGTGCACAATGGTTCGAGAAACTGTCCTTGTTTGCGTGCATGTTTCGCGGGCTGCGCGGTGCGTGCTCGCGCGCAGAGCTCCAACCCGATGGTACTCTCGCCGAGAGGTGCTCGACCCCAGAGTGAAATTTCGGTCCCCCTCCCGGCTTCGTTCCAACACCTCTCCGTTCTTCCGGCATGGTCTGACCTACGGGCGCAACGCAAAGTCGGGTTTGGAGCCGTTGGTGTGGCCCCCGAGCACACGCAGTCGTTGTTCCCGAGCCTCACCTGGTTGAGGGGGATGTCGTGCCCCACCATGCAGCGCAGGCAGTACAGGATGGCAGACAGCGTCACGGCACGGGGAGCGTTGCAGTTGCCGTACACCTCCCGCCCCGTGCCAGAGAAGTCGAACACCGCAGAGCCCTGCACCGGGAGACCCCGTGAACGGCCAGAAAGACTCAACTGAGCATCTCGGGTCCGACTGCAATGACGGCCCAGCCGAGGGCCGGTGCCAGTGGCCCCAGAGTCTATGAGCACATTGTCACAAGTGAAAACGTACGCTCCTCTCCGCGGTACACTCGCATAATGCAAGTTATCCCTACTACAAACACACACAAAATGCCCGTCAAAAAGAAAAGTATAAAAAATGCCTTACACTTTTGTGTATACCGTATTTACTCGAGTAATAGCTGCACTGTTTATGAAGAAAACCTGAGAGTTCGCTTTTCCACGGAGCACGCAGATTGCCAATCACCTCGATCGACAGTATGAATCATGCTGTTTACAGGACAGAGATAATGTCTTCGTGCGAAGATACCAACTGTGAAGATTGCATTTGTATAGAGAATCGTTTTCTCGACCTGGTTATTCGCTGTTATTTATGCGCAACACAATGATTGGCTGTATATGTGTTATGTGGGAAAGCAGGTGCCAGGGCTACATTCATAAATAGTGCAGCTATTACTCGAGTAAATATGGTAAAATGAAAGCCGATTAAAACCAAACTCCCACAAGAATGTACAGAAAAAAACACCCAAAAACTTAATTATGATTGGCTTTGATTATATCTGTTCTAGGAGAGGCCACCCTCGTAATATAATGTGTACAAGCATATAGTGGGTGTACAACGGTGCACAAGGGGCGGCGGAGACAACAGGATCAATGCAGAAGTTCACTTTCATCGGCACACCGTTGAAGGTACGAACCTACTGGACCAGTCTGAGTGTCGGAAAACCAACTGGCTCTTTCGATTTACCCGGACCAGCCTACAGCAGTGCAAAAAAGTGAAGGGTAGTGAACTTCCGGCACGTGCAACAACATATAGGTTGCATTCGTAAATGAAATATGGCAATGTGCACGGACTGCAGATAGTGCACAAAGTAAATCTAGAGCCAGCAAATCAGTCACATGCACGGTCCGTAAGCTCCCGCTCCGCTCTATCGACGCCAAGAACCGGAGTGGTTCTCCGGTCGCCACTTGGGGCAAGTAGGGGTTCCACGAGATCGTTAAAAATTGGAGAACTTCAGCTCGGAGTGCGGCTCATTAAGTAGCTCGAGGTAAATCGACCGAGCCCGACGACTCGGCAACTTCAAAAGGGGTGCGGCACCTCGTCCTCCTTGAGCTGCACGCGCAGGCAGATGCGCGAGCCGTCGTCCATGCAGTCCCAGGCCTCCAGCTGGGCCCTGCCCAGCTTCTCACGGGCGCCGGCCGCCACCCCCCGCAGCAGGTCTCGGACGGCCAGCTCGGCGTTCCGCTGCACGTGGCCCATGTAGGCCTGCACTGCCGCCAGCCCGTAGTGGTCGATGAGCTCCCTCACCAGCTGGATGCCCTGCGAGGGGGGAGGCACCGCCCTTGGTGAACGACCCTGCAGCACGAAGGCTGTCCGGTCCACGATGCATCGAGTGCTCAATCTTCTGGGGAAGGAAGGAGGACGAAGAGTCCGAGCAGATGACACTACTCCGACTCTCAACGGACAAATTTGTGGCGTAAATGTTGCTTCGCTCTCTTCGACAACAGATAGTTACATTGGGGCCATTCATACGGGCAGAAAGCGAGGAAGAGGAGAGCTCTGGTTGGAATGATTAGTGGGTAGATGCAAAGCTAGCTGTCTTCTACTCGCTCTTCGAACGCCGGCGTCTGGCATTCAAATGCATTTGAACAGTGAGCAGCTAGCTTTCTGTCTCCCCACTCATCATACTCCAATCGGAGCTCAATGTTCCGCCATGCACTCTTGCCTCCTCCTCTCCCTCCGTTTCCACTCATACTGGTTCTACGCTGTCCATGTCCAACATGCACCGTACGGGTTGGCATCAATCCCGAGTCTGGAAGTGGGATAAAATGAACGAGAAAAAATTATTGTCCGAACGTAGCGAGTGGCAATTTTTATTTTGCGCGTAATTTAGTGGCGGGTTTTACCTTCTGGGCAGCAGACCTCATCGTGAAAAAGGCTCGCAGTGTCTCCATGCAGCAGTAAAAGCATGACAGGATGTCTGTCCCAAGCAGAAAATCTTTGCACGCGGAGAAGTCGCCCTGGTGATCCCAGTAGAATGTCGCGAAATCACCACTACAGTGGTGATTTCTAAGCATTTGTGTTTTCGAACATCGCCCGGATTTCTTATTTGGAGCATTTCATGCCTGCGCTCAAGTTGAAGGTATTACTGGCGCGTACCGTATAAAGGATGCGAATTTTCACGCGTTTTCATCACCGGAGAAAAGTGACTAGGTTAGTAATCCTGAACGCTCGCAACGTCCGCCCGCAACCTGAGACGCTGTTAAAAGGCTGCGCCAGGCAAAAGCCGCTCATTTCTTTCAAAATGTGTGACACACTTGAGAGAGAAGTGTACTAGTCTGGTGAAATAAAGACTTTCCTCAAACTAAGCTTTATTTTTCATCTAACATAAAATAAATTCTTTTACAAAGGTAAGTTGTCTCATGGCATGTATTTTGGCCTGAAAAATTGATGTTTTGGTTATGGCGTGGTACAGCTTATAGTGCAGATTTTCGCGACTCCCGCGACATACGTTATATGCGGTCTACACTGTAGTACAGTGTAGACCGCATATAACGTATGTCTCGGGAGTCGCGAAAATCCGCACTATAAGCGGTACCGCACTATAACCAAAACATCAATTTTTCAGGCCAAAATATGTGCCATGATAAAACTTACCTTTGTAAAAGAATTTATTTTATGTTAGATGAAAAATAAAGCTTAGTTTGAGGAAAGTCTTTATTTCACCAGACTAGTACACTTCTCTCTCAAGTGTGTCACACATTTTGAAAGAAATGAGCGGCTTTTGCCTGGCGCAGCCTTTTAACGGCGTCGCGGGTTGCGGACGGACGTTGCGAGCGTTCAGGATTGCTAACCCTAATCACTTTTCTCCGGAGATGAAAACGCGTGAAAATTCGCATCCTTCATACGGTACGCGCCAGTAATACCTTGAACTTGAGCACACGCATGAAATGCGCCAAATAAGAAATCCGGGCGATGTTCGAGGACACAAATGCTTAGAAATCACCACAGTAGTCGAAGTAAACAAACACGACGACACGGGCGTTTCTGCCGTCTTGAGAGCGCCGCCACGACATCGCCGTACGAGTAGGTGGATCTTCCCTTCTAGTACGTGCTGGGTTATCATAGCGACACACAACGAAAATTCACAGTCAAGGACAGCGCTTTTACGCAGAACGATGAGATGCACGCCGTCTAAGACGACGATCACAACCGACGCCATGTTTGCGGAATAGAAGCAGCCGGCCCGCGACCGGTATGCAACGCGCGCGAACACTTCTCCTCGACCTGCGATTGGTCTGTCGTTGCGGTTGTTTGTTTCTTTGTTTCCAATGCAGCGGAGGGATGCACGCACATGAACGACTCGTGCGTGCATCCCTCCGTCGCTATGGCAACTGAAGCCTCTCTCTTCGCTTCTCCCCGCGTTTTCGAGCAACCTCCTTGCCCCGCGAGTGCAGCTTGCGGCTCGCGCCGTCAGCACCGTTATCTAGTGTCGCACAGGGAAGCGAGCTCGCTGCTCCGGTCGTCGGCGCGGTCGGCGGGCTGTGCCAAAAACCGCACTATAACCGGTATTTCCCTTCGCGCGCCTGCATTTTAAGCGGTATGTAATTACATGGAGTTCTATGGGAGGTGAACCGGTGGTTTAAAAAAACCGCGTTATACCCGGTCCTGCACTATAAGCGGTTACGTTGTAAGTGGTCTATACTGTAGCTCACTTTCAACGACCAAGCTTAGACCATGCAGGTACTTTTAGAAGTTCTGGAATGCCTACGAGGTACCCAGCACTTCTTTCTCTATCTGATCGTACCACCACTCGATAGTTGTCGGTGCCCCCCACGCCGAAGAGAAGACTCCTCGCTCTCCGATTGGTCGAGCCAAAAAGAAGCACCCAGCCTACTCGAGTTGGCATCTGCGACAGTGACGTAAAAATCTCCACGTTGCAGTGAGCCATGCAGGTGTCATAGTCGGTGACAGGTTAAGAGACCGGGGGAAGCTCCTCGCACCTCTTTCCCCTTTAGCAAAGCCAATGCTGGAGGCTGTCCCCTCCCCAGTATTCGCTCTGCTAAAGGGGAGAGAGGAGTTTCCCTCTTAACCTGTCACCGACTATACACCTTTCCAAAAAAAGAAAAGGCTTCTGGCCGGTTCCATCTTCAGCGTTCGTGCGTATGACACGCCGTTTGCTCGCCTCGCGAAGCGACAAACATGCACATGCTGGGCTGTGAAGATTGCACACTGAGCTGAGGATTTGTTAACGTTGGAATGGTGTATAGACAGTACCATCCTCTTCAGAGAGTCGAAGCAGTAACTTCAGCAGTTCCTCAGGTCCAAATTATGTCCTTGTTCGAGAGAAAGCTGGTCGGCGCCACGACAGCCGACAGGTTAGGCCAAAAACGTCCGACACGGCTCAATGTGCCCAGGAGTCTGCAGTCGTGCTCCGATTGATCTCTACCGAACGTGACAATGTCGTCTACCACGTCGACGCATCCTTTCATTTTGTCGGGGATCCGTGACACCTGGCGTTAGAATACCTCGAGGGCAGAAGCAATCCCGAAGGAAAGGCGACAATAACAGTGGCGACCGAAGGCAGTGAGAAATGCGAGACAATCAAAATTTTGAAATTCGTTTGAAATAACCAGATATGAAATACCAGTTTGAATGATTACGAGCCTATTTGTTTCTTATAAAAACTTATTGAGCTTCTGAAGTGATTCATCTGTATAGGATTGTGGTCAAATAAAATGTCTTCGAACCCCTTACTGTTCCTGACCTCAAAGTGCTCCATCAGACAGGAATACAATTTTTGTCATTTGTAATAAAGTTGAGCACATTTTAAAATAATTTTTCAGAATTTATATTATTAAAGGGAAGATGGGGCGGTTCTGCATTTGAAAAAAAAACACTTGAATTGTGTTCACTTGGCCGTTAGAATAACAGATATCACAATTATGTTTCAATGCAACGTGCCAGAGAGCCATAAGAGCAATTTCAAAATAGGGCTGAAGCCCCGCCTACCAAGCCTTAGGAAGCCTAAAAAATCTGTCGATGACGTCACATACAGCGACTGTATCTTGCTTTTAACAATACTTGCGCAGTAAATGTTCTGGGTATTTGGGTTCACGGGGTAAAATTACACTAGAATTCACTTCTAACCCATTTTTTCCAAGAAGCTCCGTAGATTCCCTTTAATACCAATAAAAATGGCATCCACATAAAAAAAAAAGCGGGAGCTGTGGAGCTCTATGGAGAGCGCAAGTTCGTCCGCTTTTTGTACACGGGTTGCGAGGATGTCAGAATGCTAAGCTCTTAGTGGCTGATTAAACAAAATAGTGGGTAAACCTCAAGGCATCTAGCATTCATGTCTACTGTTGTATTCCGAGTTTAGCAGTCTTACGGGCACGAATTTTGAACGAGAGAAATGCGTGCCCCACTCGCAGTGGCGCGTGCTCAGCTCGTGTGTACGAGTACCGCTTTGAAGCAGTTGACCCTGGGATTCGGATTAAAGAAGTCAGACAGTCACCGGTGTCCTTCCTTGCCCTTGGCAGGGCTTGCGAAGACGCGGGTCCCCGCCGTTAATGGGTTGTCTTCGCAGATGAACCCGACCTCTACTCCCTGGCTACAACGCCTGCAGCAGCGGCTGCCATTCCTTTCCCGGCATTGATAAGGCAAGACATCGCCACCACCGGCATTCAAATTCATCCACGCAGCTCTGCGCCGGTACCCAACAGTACCTGTCAAACCACCATCTCGCGACCTCACTACCAACACCGGCCATCCCCTACAAGAATACAAAATCTACCCACTATCCTTTCAATCAACAGGGTGTCTCGCAAATTGTTATTTTGAAATTCCCTGACAATATCAGGTCAAATTCCCTGACCACTGTAGAGGCGGTTAAAGATATAAGACCATTACAACGCAAGGCATTAAGCATTGAGCAATGTGAAGGTAATTTTGCACGAGCCTAATCGAACTTGCATATTCCGAAATATTCGGGTTCGTCCAGTCCGGATTAAACGAGCACTTTCTTGCCGCCGACATCGTCCGTGAAGAGGCCACTTCCGGAAGCACAATGAAAACACAACGCTCAACCACACACGCCAATAACCAAATGGCAACATTTTGTGGAAAAAGTTAAATTCAATATTACATGAAGGACGTCAGTTTGGAGAAACAACCGAACTTACGATTGAGGGGGATATTAAAAAAGATAAAGTTCTTGCAGACGCATTCAATGATGTTTTTTGTCGACTTAGCGTTCACTCTGTTGAAGTTTCAAAATAGTATGTAAAAAATCTTTCTGACAGCATATTTCTCTCTCTAACTAGCGAGGAAGAAGTTATTTCAATTTTTATGAGCCTAAAGAACAGCAAAAGTTCTAATTCTCAAGACATTCAAATAAAGCCCATTAAATATGTTAGAGAGTCTATTGCTTTTATTTTAACTCATATATTTGATGTACATCTCGAAACTGGTGTTTTTCCACGTAAAATGCAGATAGCAAAGGTTTCTGTCATATATAAAGCAGGGGATAAGAATGACCTTAGTAATTACAGGCCAGTCTCCATTTTACCAAGATTTTCAAAAGGTTTGGAAAAAATCATACATAAAAGACCTTACACTTTTTTTGAGAAACACTCAATTCTTAGTCCCCGACAGTACGGGTTTCGGTAAGGGTACTCGACGGAGTGTGCGTTACTAAACCAAAAGAGATAATTCTAAACAATATTGAAAATAAACTGCTTACATTGGGAATCTTTATCGATTTTTCAAAAGCCTTCGATCGTATTAATCATAAAACTCTCCTTCAAAAACTAGAACTTTCTGGTATTCGGGGAATAGCACTGAAAATACTCGAGAGTTACTTACAGTTCCGCTTTCAAAGTGTTCTAATAAATTGCCAACGTTCTGAGTCTAGAAACCTTAATGCAGGTGTTCCACAAGGCAGTATTTTAGGGCCTCTTTTATTGAACCTGTATATTAACAACATAGCTAACATTGATGATGAAGCAAACATGATAATTTATGCAGATGATGCTAGTATATTTTTTGCAGGGTCGAATATTTCGGACATTATGAAGACAGATAATACATTTCTAGAAAAGCTTTATATGTGGACAGTTCTGAACTCTTTAGTGATAAATAGTAATAAAACGAAAGCTGTTGATTTCAGGTCAAAGGGGGTAAAAATTAGCGAAAATAAGCTTCTCTCCTTAGACTCACGTGGCATAGAAATTGTGCAGAATGTCAGAGTTCTTGGTGTTATGTCTAATGAATACCGTATTTATTCGAATATAGGTCGACCTTTTTTTTTTTTTCAGAAATGTTGTCAAAAATTAAGGGTCGACCTATTATCGTGACCAAAAAATTTCGACCTAATTCGCGACCAAAATTTGAAACCCTACCGAGGGTATGGAGCTGTCAATCACCTAGCCGGCGTCGCGGTAGAGCCGCGCGGCATCTTGTTTCAAAAGGCTTTTGATCCACAAAAACAACCGAACAGCAGCAGCCGACAGCCCGTGTCCCCTACGGCTCTCGCGCACATTCCTCGGGCGTCGAGTTTCGCCATCACGCCTGTAGCGTTCCCCTCGCTGGGCAAGGGGGAAGGGGAGGGAGAGGAACGCGATGCACCATGCACTTTGCCCTCCTATGCGCTCCATTCCTCTCCTTCGCAAACGTGCAGAAAAAAAAAAAAAAAAATATTTTAGCTTGTTTTTTTTGTTTTTTTTTTTCGGTGGGTCGCGCGTTGCTCACGGGGCTTGCAGCGTTGCTCGTGTCTTTGTATTTGGTCTTTCGTGGCTCGCCCGTCTCCACCTTCTTTTGTTTCTGCTGGTCGTCATTTGCCAATCTACCAAGCTGACGAAGCTTCGGACGACGATATGTCCGGAAGTTCTGACGATGAATAAGTTTTTGACATCGCCCTGTGATTTAGCCGAGAGTGCTGTAAATAAAGGTTTGTTTATTTTGCCCTAACTTTCCCCTGTTCCTTAAAAAAAAAAGAAAGGTCTACCTATATTTGAATTATTTTTTTTTTTATTCTCGATGGGCTCAATAAATAGGGGTCGACCTATTTTCGGGTAAATACGGTACATGCGATGGGATGAAACAGTTCAGATGATAGCGAAAAAACTATCAAAGGTGGTAGGTACAATTTATAAGTATAGAAAAACCTTACCCCAGTCTGTACTACGACTTCTTTATAACTCTTTCTTCTACTCTTGCTTTAATTACTGCTTCTTGGTATGGGGAAAATTAACTTCTGCAAATATTCATTGTATTCATATACTTCAGAAAAAGGTAATTCATATTTTGTGTAATGAAGCACATGACAGCCACACGGTACCGTTATTCAATAAATTAGGAATTGTTCCAATCACAAATTATTATGAGTATTAACTTGCCCTGGCATATAAAGCAGCGAAAAACCACCCGGGAAACAGTCTTCTTTCTCTTTCTTTCCTTTACTCACAAAACACCTCGTATGCCACACGCCATGCCGACTCCTGGACGGTCCCGTGCTCGAGAACAAACAACGGAAATCAAATGGTTAGATACCAGCTACCCAAAATATTGAACTATTTTTTATCGCGGAATATTGCCACGCTCGTCGGCGAGCGATTGCGCGAGTGGCCGAGTGGTTACCCTGCTTGACTGTCGCGCAGAAAGTCTGGGTTCGATTCCAGTCAGTGGAATATTCTTTTATTTGTTCTTTCAACATTTCGTTCTCGTGAGTTTGAGAACATTCTCGTCTGATAGAGTTCCGAATGTTCCAGTTGCCGAACAATCTAGGCCGATTGTTCCAGAACCCAACGCGCGTACATAAGAGACTCCGTGTGCTGATCTGCAGCCAGTTTCGCCCCAGCGTTAGACTCTGCCGCTCCGCCGCCTCCGACGCCCGCAACGCACTGTTATTATCTTTTGTACCCATTTATTTTTGGCACAAGTTCGCCACATTAAACGTTCATTTCTTTCTGTTCATTTATTGTTCTTTTGGTCACCACCCGTGACAATATTACAATTGAAAACTGTTCTAACAAACGCATACTATCTTTACTAGTTTCGTGAGAAATCTGATTGTGTACTCTTGAGAGCGGTTTTTGTTTTGAGTGCCTCTTCTGCTGTTGCTGTTGGGGGAGGAGAGGGCACTGTCAAGCAGTTTTGTACTGTCGAGCCCGGTTATAACAAAGTCAACGGGAATCGGAATTCACTTCGCTATATCCGTTATAACCGACTTCGATTATAACAAAGTGCAAAAGGGAATGGGAAATCAAAATCACTTTGCTGTAGTCGCTATTTCGTTATAACCGGTCTTGACCGTACTGCTTTTTTCCCTCCTCCCTCTCTTCTTGTTTGAAAAGAGGAATAAAGAAACTTGAAAACATGGTCGCCAGATCTACTTTCGGATACTTTCAGCTTAAGGCTTGGATTGGATTGGGGTCTGTGGCTTTCCTATTTGTTACTAAACCTAGTAGCTCTAACTGGATCTAGCCTAGTGTCGTGCTCTCAATCTAATCTAATCCAATCCAAGGCTTGAACTGGATTTGTTGGCTGTTCTCTTTGCATCGGGCAGCACACTTTCCATCTAGTGAGCAGAGCCCACGCTCCGCTCTAAGCAGAATTTATTGCCTATTTTTCTGCCCCCAAGTCCTCGTCTTTGCTCAGGGCACTCGATGGCGTATCCGGCTCATTTTCCCTGACTGGGCTCACTTTCTGACAATTCCCTGATTTTTCCCGGTAATTAAAATTTCCCTGACAATCCCCGGTTTTGCCAGTCGCTAGACACCCTGAATCAAAGGCAATCAGAGCTCGGCTTCAGTCTGACGTCACCGCAATTCCTGTGCAAGCAGCAGACGACTTGCTCTCCGCATTGGGAGAAGATCAAAGAGGGGAAAGCGTACTAAAGCAGAAATGGAACCAGAAGAAAATTATGCTTCGTAACGCTTGCTAGGAGCGCTAGCTGTCAACTGGGTCTGAGTGGGCCACTGGGGCTTACGAGTCTGTTCGCCTTTTACGTTTCCTAGGCTACCTTACGGTACTGTATCCCAGAACTGCCGGGGAGAGGGTGATTGGACCTCCAAGCCCCTTGGTGTGGCATGGCGACAGGCATGCCTCCACTCTGACAGCCAAGGCTCTCGCATAAGCTGCAAAGAACAATCCGAAATGAGTCCTTGCCTTGTTATTGGCTGCAATCTGGGCCTGCAGGTCAGCCAGGTTGTCTCGCAGGTTGCGCGTCCCACTGGAGTTGGGCAGCAGCGCAGGGGCGTTCAGTGCCTCGGTCAGTGCTGCACACAAGTGGAACGATTACAGTTGGAAACTGCACTCGACCCAGCGCTACCATCCTTTTTCTCCATCCCAAAACTGCCGGTGCCTCCAAAGGGACTGTGCGTCTTGTGCACCTGCCAGCAAAAAAAATGAAGCTACGTGGCAATGTGCTTTATTGGTCACAAACTGTTAGTGTGAATTAACCCTACTGACACCTGGTAAGGTGCAGCCCCCAAAGCCTCTAAGGGGAGGGTTAGTGCTCAAAGACATATTTCTTACTTTTCCTGACGGGCATAAACGGTCAGTTTCTAGTTGCCTTCGAGTACTTTTCAGATATCCCGGATGGTTGGAGGAAAAGAGAACCGAGTTTTACTTGCCACGAAACTAAACTATGCTTTAGCCGCTGCTCAGTCCTCAACCACCACTCAGTCTTCAACAAAAAAAAAAAAAAATTATGAGTAGCTTTAGCAGCTGGGACCAGATGCCCAAGTTTCAGATCTTACCATTAGTATCTGATTCGAGAGTTATAAGCAATTTTCAAACACTTTCGTCGAAGAAATAGGGAGACCCGAAATACATAAAGGTATATGGCATCTGCCACCAGGAAGAGGCCCCACTTCCTCATTGCAAATTTAGTAAAATCGCTTTTAACTAAAGATGCCTCAAACCTCCCAAAACTAGTTTTTGAAATTTTTTTAAAATTTCAAAGTTCGCTAAGGTTTGTCAAAAAGTCTGCAATTTTCAAGCTCCACCAAGGTTTGAACTAAAAACTTTAAAGACGTCAAAGGTTTTGGAAATTTTGGGTTTGAAAATTTCAAATTTCTTTACGGATCAAGTTAGAAAAATTCCAATGTTAAAAATTTTTTACGAGGTGCAAGTTAGAAAAGTTTGAAGATTTCGAATTTAAGTTTGAAATTTTTTAACTGCATAGACAAAGATCAAAAACTGCCGTTTTGAATAAAGTTCTCATGGCTCACCCCATCGCTTGTTTCTGACATTTTCTTGCGTGACAAACATTAGCCACCCTAAAATGCCGCTGGCTACTAATGATAATGAAACAAGTGCCAATTCAATGTACGCCATCGTGCATCACTCTCTGTGCCTGCTTTTCCCCAGCAAAGCACCCCAGTCGGATTTTAAACCTGCAGGTCAGGGATCTTTGGCCCAAAAGTTACCTCAGGGCAACCTTTAGGGTTTGACACGGGAGTGGCTCTCTGCACGACCAGTGGGAGAATCTCAGGTACGAGGCCACCAGAAAGTCAGCCATTGGAACGACTTAGGATTCGCTAAATGAAGCTCTAGGGAAACTTTCATTCCACCCTGCACATTCACATCTTTGCATTATTTATATTTTTTTCATTAAACCTTCCAGGATAAAGTTAGAACACTGTCAAACTTTTGTTCAGAAGTTGGAAGTTTGTAGAACTCAGTGATGTGATTGGCCTAAGCCATTTTGGAGCACTTTTTGGAGCAGCCAAAACAGTGTTTTTTAGCAGCAAAAGTGGCTTTTGAAGCAGCCAAAACAGTGTTTCGGAGCAGCAAAAGTGGCTTTTGGAGCCACTTTTGCCGCTCCGACAAACAAAGTGCACTTGGTGCTGTGTTGTGACGGAACTCGCTGTGTTTTCACTGCTGAGACATCCCACAAGTGTACAGTGTTGTAGGCATTGCCGAGCAATTTCGAAAAGAACGCTTGCCACCGTTTTACTGGTTCCCGACAAGCCAGATTTTCGCCAAAAGGAAGCAAACGTAAAACAATGAATTGAAAGCGTCTCGGCTGGTGCCTTTGTGGTGCAGTCATGTTCACAGGCACGTGGGCAAGTTCAGCAGGCTTGCAGTGGCACGTGCTTCGTCGCGCGAGCGGAGACAACGGCTGTTCAATCGAAACCGAAATAATGCCATTCCCCTCCGTCGCCAACTGATTCCCAAAATAGTATTCAAAATGTAACTGTCCAGCGTACGACAAAAACAGAAAAGAACAGTCGGGCGGCGCGTGCTTGCCAGGCCAGCAGGCAAGGTAGAATCTAAACGCACACAAAAAAACAAACAAAAAAAACCTGAGCGCATCAATGCATGACTTCACGAGCCAGGGTCAAAAAGTTCTTGGAGCGCTTTGTGCAAAGACTAAACTCGAGACAAACAAGCGCGATGTTCGGGTTCAACATACACAGATTGTCTTCTTTGCTTTAGGTCACTTCTCTTCCCCAACTTTGTTTCGCGGCAGATTTTTCACGTACCAGGGTCCCTCTCGAAAGAAAGCCCACCGAGAGAAACCTAGGTAATCAATATTTCTACAAGCAGCTTTTTTAGTAGAGTATGATTTAGAAGAGGGCAGGAATGTCGATGAACAAATTTAGAAAGCGCCATATCTGCAGAGACGTGGGAACGGCAACACCCGACGTCGCGTGACCACGGTGACTGTGTTCGCGCGAGCGTTTCAGCTCACAAAGTAACTTTCGCCACCCAAAAACGTGGTTTTGTTTCACAGCATGACGGCATGGCTGGCACCCGGCACACTAGCGTCGGAGCGTCAGCACACGCCTGCGTCTATCGTTGAAAAAATTTAAAAAAAGACGCGAGACGAGATTTCCGAGACGACGAGGGACGAGGGCGCGAAACGCGAGACAAACCACTGGGAAAAACCATGCAAGACCGGATGGACGATTGATGCAGGGTACTTTGTGTCGGGTGGCCGCTTGCACCACCTAGCTCACGCATGCTCAATTACGGTTCTCAGTTTAGTTTCGGTTTTGAAAGGCAACCGAAATAGGTCCTTTGGCGCAGGCTTGGCGCAGATTACCCATATTTTGGCAAAATGTAGCAGGATGTAGCAGGATTAGCCCCTTGGCGCAGTTTGGCGCAATTGGCGCAGCAATCACATCACTGAGAACTTTTAAAGTCTACAGATTTGAAATTTAAAACATCGCTGAGTTTCTTGGAGTTGATAAGAATGCCAGTTCAAGCAGTTTTCCCCCTTGAATACCGCCGTCGTAACATACCCTCTCCCCTAAGCACCCGGCTAGCCTAGGGAAGGAGCCGCTCGCCTGGATACCTCACTCCTTTTTCGCTTAAACCTGTCACGGAATAAACATGTCGGTTCTGATAAACGCGTGCTTTTCCTGGCCCTGGACATCACATAATTGGCGACGAGGATGGTCCTTCAAGCTGCTGAGCTGCTAGCCCCACTGACGAGCATTGCAGCCTCACCCACCAGTCACCACACAAGCACGGTTCCATCACTGAGTGCAAGACATGGTTTCCCAATTAGGGCAAGTTGAACATTTTGATGACTCAACTAGCAATTGGCTGTCATACGAAGAACGACTCTGAGCATATCTCCAGACTAACGAGGTGCTCGAAGACCTTAAAGGGGCACTGACACCCCAAAGGTCGTATTTTTTTTTATTGTCTAAAACGATGCAAGTTGCAGTCATAGACACGCAAAAAAAAACCGCATCTTTTTATTTTTGGCGTTTGATTTTCCCGCCTCTCGCCTCCTCGCTTCTTTTGATCGGTGACGTCAAAAATCAGGAAATTTAGAAGCTTTGTAGGCGACATCTCTATAACATTTAATAACGGCAATCCTAAAACATGTTTTTTAATGCAATTGTGAACGTAAAACGGCCCTTCTTTTTGAAATACCAAAAATCGGGAGTTCGTTGTGGTGCCATCTCCTGGATTTGTATCCCCCCACGGAAAACAGGCGACACCGCTCAAAACCGGTCCGCCGCAACGCCGGCGCTCGCTCCTTTCCCCCTTGCTTTGGGTCGCCATGGCAACAGCAGGGAGTCGTGAAAAAAAGTGGACTTTCAGGAGTTCGCAATAGTTGACGTCAACGCACCGGCGCGGATCGCGCAGGAACTTCGAATTCGGCATTTGGAAATTATTTTTTTACTTCACAAATACTGAATTCCCAAATTTCAGATTTTGAGGGTAATGTCCCGGCATCGTTTTCAATCGTTTCGGATAATAAGAAAAAATATGATTTTGATGTGTCAGTGCCCCTTTAAGATGGACGCTTTTATCAGCCTCAACAGACCTAGGACGTACGCTTCGTTAAAGTCGCTAACTACCCCAGAAGCCTCGACAGCCAAGTCCTAGGACTTCTTGTTAAAAGTACTACGTAAGCACCTATCACCGCAAGAGAGCAAACCAGAGGACACAAAAAGTCCAAGAAACAATATTGCAATTCGTAGAGGAGCTACGAAAGCTTGCCAGATGTGCGAGTTTGGAAGCTTTCTCGATGAATTACTCCAGGTCAAATTCGTTTGCGGGCTACAACGTATTGATTTAGAACACAGCAGTCTTGTTAGATAAACATCTGCCCTTTCAAAAAGCAGTCGAGCATGCACTTGCGTTGAAGTCAGCACTAAAGAACGCTCTGGACACAGACTCCAAGCGTGAAAGTAACATTGACCTGCATAAGATGCAGCAGACGAAGCTAAGACTCCTACAAATCAGTTTCTCTGCTAAATTTAGTGGGGCAAATGATGTCACACAACTTGGTGTCACTTCACCTACGAATAAATTCAGTTTCTCCGTTAAATTTAGCGGGAAAATTGACGTAACGTGACCTAAACACCAATTCAATTCCCCGCTAGATTTAGCGGGGAATTGGATTGGTGTTAATGTCAATTTTCCCGCTAAATCTAGCGAAGAAACTGAATTTTTTCCGCTAAATCTAGCGGAGAAACTAAATTTTCCCGCTAAATTTAGCGGGGAATTGAATTGGTGTTGAGGTTACATAGCCAGGAATTGAATTGCTGTTGAGGTCACGCGACGTCAAGTTTCCCGCTAAATTTAGCTCGGTTACGCCGATGCCACAAAACACGAAAACGGGCGCCTAAGAGCTGCGCTTTAAAAAAACTAAATGTGTGCGAACCAACTCTGAAGTTGAGAATAATCAACCCTTCTCACTTGGCACACATGGCAGGGTGCCTTTAGCATTGTCAAATAGCCAACGTAAAAAAAAAAAAAAAAGTTTTGCTTGGCTTGGTTAATGGTTGAGAACTTTGCAAATCCAAAAAGGCTTTCAAGGACCCCAAAGGGTCCGCAAACCCCCATTTTGGAGACTCGGATTTTCTGCCCTGCGAGTGGAGCATGCGTGGCCACTCTCTCTAGGGCTCCACCCACCCTCCTGCTGGAAGACGCCGGCCTGGACCAGCTTGAAGGAGAGGAAGGTGGCTCCTTCCTCCAGGATGGAGTGCGAGTGGGCCGGCATGGAGCCCGGGCTGATGCCCCCAATGTCCGCGTGGTGGCCGCGGTTGGCCACGAAGAACACCGGACGTGGCTCGCCGGGGTAGAACACCTGCAGGCTCCGGTGTGTCAGAGCTGTCGGAATACCTCCAGGTGCGCACATTCACACTTAGGTTTTACAGCGGTGGTTCTCAAACTTTCAGCCGTAACGGATTACCTGGCCTACCCGGAGGCCGGGGACTCCAATGCATTCTGCCTCAGTCTTGTGCAATGGCATAGGAGGGCTTTTTTTTTATACCGTTCTTTTTGCTCGCTGCAGATCCCCATTAACACTCTTAGGACCCCTGGGGGTCTGCAGACTGCGGCTTGAGAACCCCTGTTCTTCACTGTAGAATACAACTTCCCTTAGTAAAGTAAGATGACAATCTCAGCTACTTATATTAGTATCTTGACTACACTCTCTTCTCATAGTTTAGTTGCATTAAAAAAAAACCCAACCGCAAGCTTTTTTTGAGCACGTCGGTATTTTGGCCCCATGTTGCTCTAAAAAATACTCAAGCCCAAATTCGGAGCTAAAAATCTGCTTTTCGTGTAAAGCTCGTCAAAATATTAGACGATGGAGAAAATTGGCCATCTGCGTTAACATCCCAAGAACGCACATAATTTTGTCACACTGCCTCCTTTCACACGATAGTTTGTCTGCCAGGTGATTTCATCTGAAATCGAACACACGTGTCAAAAAAAGTATTTTGATTTCCCTGAAAAAAAAAAAAAAAAAAAAAACGTAGCAGCCCCACATCCTTAACGAAAAAACAGTCTCTCAAGAATTTTTTCTTCCATAAAGTTTTTTAAGTGAAGCAAGGTGAAATGCTACATTCTGGCTGCTTGATTTTTGTACCCAGTTCTGTCAGTTGTTATAAATAAGAAAAAACAAAAAGACTCAATAAATTTTCCTAGTACAATGTGAAAAACTCTTTTATCATTTAAATTAAACTTTTTGGTATATCTTGCGTTATAATTATAACATGCTAGACGTCACACCTTTGACGTTTTGGCGAGATATTTGGAGCCTCGTACCTTAGGGTTCATCTTAAATATTGCTTACTAAATACTGCACACCTGCAGTCATCTATATGACCGGTATCAGTTTGGTTTAATTAATTTTCACGAAAAAGTTTACAATAAGTCTTAAATTTCTAAAAACTTAAATTTAACCATATTTTGGGCCCTTTCTTTTCTATTAAAAAAAAAAAAGCCATTGTTACACTGATGTTTAGTTTATTCCTCTTACTCTTAATGATGTCAATTTTTTTTTGCATAATCAAAGTTTTTTTTTTTGTCATATTTTCTGGAGAAGCGATCAAACACACGTCCAAGTCGGCATTACTTCGAGGCTTTTTAAACTTAAAATGCCAAGGGCCGTGGCGTCGGAAGCGTTTGAGAGGCGAAAGAGTGGTGAGAGCCGGCAACAAACAAAGGGGGAGGGGAGTGCGTTATGCGAATATGCCGCCATTAGAAGAAAATAAGCAGCCCCGCATTAATCCACAGTACTACTGTCACGGCGATGGCGACAAAATCCTCGTGCATAAGCGTTGCATTCACACACCATGGGTTCTTGATGGAGAAGCCTCCCTTGACCTTATTTTCACGAGCACGCACGTCACCATTCTATTTGCTACCAATGGCACGAGACATGTCGCCGGGGCGTCTTTTTAGTGTCTCGCAAGTGCGATGCCACAACGCACACGTCTGCCATTTTGAGCCACACTCTCGTGCAGTGAAGATAAAGGCAGCTAGCTTCAGGTCTACCCACTCATCATTCCAACCAAAGCTCGGTGTTTCAACATCCCCGCGCTCTCGTCTTCTCCTCTCCCTCCTTTTCTCGGCGCACGAGTTTGAGGCAGTGTAGTGCGCACCTCTCTCTCAACCGTGCCGCTCGGCATTAGGACATTGTGGGGCCCAAGTTTCGTGTAATGCATCGACCCTTGCCGGAAGTTAACGACCTTTCTGACCTTCAAAGCCTCCTGCAATAGGAGAAGAAAACGTGCCTTCGGCAGAGAGGAAAAAACTATTAAAGGGTCGTGAACGAGCTACCGAGATGGCGATGCCTTATCGTACGAATGAAGTAATGCCAAAGTAACGTGCATTAATTTTTATTGTTACCTGTAACATGTTACTGTACGTGTTAGTAAGGAAGACGGTGCAGATAAAATCTCTAGGTAATTTCTTAAGTCAGGCTTCGTTGCAGTTCGCTAAAATACCCAAAACTTTCTAAAAACATAATTTTTTTTTTTTTTTTTTGTGATTGGGATGTATGTACTGAACACCTTTGCCTCTTTTTAGATTTAGTGTGTGCCAGCCCTTCATTGCTGGCATAAAGATTTTTTCTTTTTTTTGGTGGAGAGGACATTATTTCTTTGTGAACCTTTATTAGAATTAAATAGGTACTGATCCTTTTGTTAATTTTTGGGGGGAAATTATAGAGTTACCTTTGTGAATCCGCATAAAGGTCGTTCATAGTACTACATTGTGTATTGGAAGGTTTGGCGTTTGGACCCATTAGAGGTTGCCCCTCTGCGTTGGTGGTGGAGGATTGTGGGCTATATAAGAAGGCGGACTAAATAAACCTGGTAGCTGAGTTTGAGACGTTGTCCTGTCCTTTTCTGTTTCTTCGACTTATATGTTCATTTCTGCCCCAGTCTCAGGTTTATTCAACATGTTACTTTCATTTTGAGGTTACGTAGGAGCAGAAATGCGTCACTTTTATTTGCGAGTAACGAGGAACATATTTCGTTACTTCTTTTCGGTAGCGCCCGCGAAGCGGTGCATGGTCAACTATCGCGTGCCGTGTGACACAGTAAAAATTAACGCATTCGTTCTGGGGGGGAATGAGAATACCTGAATTTATCCCGATGTTCATTATCTCCGACTGAATGTGCCGTTGGCTTCACCTTAGCGCGTCAATACTTCCCCTTAAGATACAGGTACAGATACAGAGAAATAAAACTACCAAGGTTTGTACCTTAGGTGCAATAAAGGTTCCTAGTTACCAATTTGAAGTTACTTGTGCCCAGGTACCTTACAACCCTGCAAATCTGTCACCAAAACGTCAAAGGTGCAATGTTTAGCATTCTTTTTATGGCATAAATTATACAAAATAAATTTAATGTAAACAACAAAATAGTTTGTGTGTAAAACCTATTGTTAGTCATTTTCCTTTTAACTCATTTATAACAACCAAAAGAACTGGGTACATTAAGCAGCCGAAATGTAGCATTTCACCTTGCTCCATGTAAGAATTTTTGTGGAACGAAATAAATTTTCTAAAATATCTTAAAGAGAGGCTTTGCTCATTCAGGAGTGGGGCTACATGTACATTTTTTTAGACAAATCAAGATACTCACCCCGACACACGTGTCCAGTTTCAAATAAAAGCACTAGGCATGTGTGAATAGTGGACTTTGAGTTTGAAGTAAGTCCAAAGCGAATATTGGTTCTGGCCAAATATCAACAAGTTTCTTTACGCCTTTCACATCTGCAACAAGCTTATAAGAGGAAACACTACTCCGGAAGGCTAACTTTTGAACTGTTTGTCTTATTTGCATGGCATTTGCAGGGTGTACTCATAGCACTGGACAAGTGCTGTGGATATTTTCAACCCTATAAATCAAGGGTCTCAAACACGCAGCCCGTGGGTCGCATGCGGCCCGTGAGTCGCTGGGACGCGGCCCGCAGGCAACGGGCTGCGAGCCCTCGTTCCCATGCATGCCTTCAGCGCAAGAAATGGCATGCGCCATAATGACATCATGTTGCAGATTTATTTCCGCTTGAAACATAGTTCTGCTCTTATAACGTGTCCACACAGTTACCATTCTGTTTTCATTTGCCTTGTGTCTTCTTTTATATTTTGCTTCCCCAAGTTTTGTCACGTTAGTCACCTGTACCACAATTTCACTTTTAGGCTGCAAGCGGGAGCACTTCGCTCAAGGACACACTTCGGCTGCACAAACTCTCGCTCAGCAGAGGAATGGTCAAAGATAAAGCTAAGAACTTGAGATTTTTGCCTTAAAAAAAAATCGCCATTCGACGACAAGTATTGTTTTAGACTGCTGCTATCAAGAATCCCCTAGAAACAAAGCACTGTCATATGAAGAGATTTCCTATTTTTTTTAAAGAAATCTAGAGCTTGAATAATTCCCGAGTGAATTGGTGAACAAAAGCAGCAATGTGGTTGCTCTCGTAGGAGCGGTGCCCATTTAATTCTTGTTATCACATCAGGCAAGGGCCCAAATTAGTCTTATAAACAAAGCAAAACTGAAGATGTCGGTACGTACACTGGGATTAAAAAAAAAAGAGAGAGCATGACCGTTAAAATTGCTCTCCCCCTCCCCCGCTAGGTTGGCCCTCGACCTTTGGGGGATGGGCTATCTGGCCCCCGCACTCACATGAGTTTGAGACCCCTGCTATAAATTTATCCCACAATGAGTTACATAAAAGTTCATAATAAAAAAAGTGTATCTGCTGAGGAAAGCTATCGTTTAGAAAGGGTAATGAAAATGGCCAGTTTTTTTGCTGGAACATACAGCAGAATACTTTCTCCAGACGACTATGAAAAGAAATTGAAAAAATTGTCAAATTTATTCCCCCCCCCCAAAAAAATGGAAAAAAGTTTTTTTTGGGTGTACATTTGATTAAAAGAAATATAAACTTTTCATAACAAAAGAGCATAAAAATGCAGAAAGTAAGTTCACAGTCGTGTTCTCCAGAAAATTTCAATATAGAAAAACTAAAATATATCTGAACGCATAATTTGATTATGAAATGATAGCTTCCCTGAACTGATATTTGACACTAAAAAGTGAAGCTGAGATAAATGCGTTTGAAGTTTCAAGATGGATTTGTTTTAATGTTTTTGCACTTTGAATGTCACTAGAATCTGCCAGCTGCATAGGTGACACCTTCTTCCTCAACTCTCTTCTGCTCTGCTGCTACTGCTTCTAACTTCCTTCGCTTGTGGGCAGTCTTCGGGGTATCCAGCGCCTTTGCCTTGGCCTGCGTGATCTTCAGCTCCAATGCCTTCCTCGTGTGCTCCAGATGGTGGCTTCCAGGCTTCATGCCCATCTTCTCGAGCACCCTCTCAAAGCCCTGCGGACCCAGGTTAAACTCGAAAACCGCCCGCCATTGCAGCAGCGGTTTCAACAGTACGTAGGGATGCAAACTCGGTCTTTGGGCACCTCTTCCAGACGAGCGCATTGTAGGATTCATGGGCATTTTGAGTACTCATCCTGCAGCATCTTGCCAGCAGGGTCTTGTCTGACAGACGGTTGTACAGCAGCACCAGCTCTTTTGCTATGTCCCTTGAGAAGGCAGGCCGATGTGGGCGTGGTGCACTTGGCTTGCCAGCTGCTCCCAGGGCTTTGTGGCGCTTGAAATGACACCAGGAGTCTTCACCCTGAGGACATGCCTGGTGCCGGGGCTCGGCGTGAGTCGAGTAGCTGTGAAATAAGCTTGAGAAGACCCCCTTCTGCATCTTTACAACATCTGGAGCATTGCCCTTCAATGCGGTTGCATAGAAGCTTGTAAGTCACTTCATCACAACATTGGTGAGCTTGCCTTTTCCTCCGAGCCCCTTCTTGGTTTTTTTCACCTTGTCCATTCCAGCATACATACGCTTTGCCACATGGCTGACGCAGTCTTCTTTCTGCATAACCTTGTCGTAGAGGCCTAAGCTTGCAACATGGTTGAAAGCCTTACTGACCTCATCACTGAGCACTGTCACATACTGCATGTTGTGCCGTTCCACTGAGCGGCTGAAGATGTCGTTAGCTGCTTGCACTTCCATCGCGTTAGAGGAGCCCTCAAAGTTCTTCTGGCAGACTTCCTCATGCGACTTTGCCCAAGCTTGATATTCATTCAAATCTTTCTTGGGACCGAGGTTGCAGCCATGGCAATAGGTGCTCTGCAGGGAGAAATCGAGGACCAAGCCAGTTTCGAGTTCGATGACTGCACCGACCCCAAAGTGGGACGTGTGGCCGCGCTTTTGCCATGTGCCGTCGTAACTGACGCAGACGTCAAGAAGATTGTCATTGTCGTCCTGTACTCCACCTTGGGACTCCACTGCATGCATCTTTCTCACAGCCTTTGCGGCCTCCTTCATCGCGTCGCTTGCCGCTTCTATTGACGTGTCATGCCTTTTGGCTGCTATGTTCTGGTAGGTCTTAAGATGCATCAGCGGTGGTGCACCCATGCCTCCAAAAAAGTTTTTTAGCTTCTTAAGCTCATTCCGCAGTCCCGACCGACAACACAGAGGAGCGCAGCGAGTTCGTTTTGCCGAGTCGTTCCCACGGGTGCGGAGTGCGGTGCCCTCGCGATCTCCCCACAAGAACTGCAGACGATCACAAACTGCAAATTTGCTCCAGTTCCATCTTCTGCCAACTCGAATCTGCGTACCAAACAAGTGGGACACAACAAGGTGCTCACCAGAGTCTGCACGGCTGAAACGTGCACAAAACAATGTCCGTCGAGCGATTGAGATGGATTGCTGTCGTCAATCGGTTCACGCTCGGCCTCGCTGCGTTCCGAAAGCAGAATCTTCCGCTCGAAAGTAGTCAAATCATCGACTTCCTCCGGGAACGAAGCATTCGCAAAATGCGGCATAGAAGCATCCTCCAATGGTTCCGACTAAGTCAAACTGCAGCTTGACTGTGCGGGCGACGTAGTCAACTCCAGGGCTTCTGAGCACTTGCGGGATCCGCGACCTCTCGGTTTTGTGAAGCGAGAGCGTCTACCAAAGTTTCTACGCATATTAGCTTTAGTTGCGGGCATTTCGTAGTGAAAACAGAAGCAGGGAAGATCAAAGGGAAACGGAGCAAAGTGATCAGATCAGCGAAAAAACGTGTTCTGAACGCGAACCACGCGCAATCACGTGACCAAGGACAGCCACTCGCAGCACGGGTTTCATAACCTCAGCCAATAGCAGCGCCCGTTGGTTTTTTTAGCGGCATTCTTGCCCCAGAACGAGCATTTTTTCTGGTCCGCTCTCCCGTGCACGGAGGAGTAAAGAAATAAATAAATAAGTAAATTCGAAAGCTCGTTTTCGATGCTTTGAACGAGACCACCAGATCCACGCTAGGCCTAGCAGCCGCGGAGCAATCGTGTTTCGAAACTGATGCTTATCATGGTTCTCTCCGTGCTCAGCCAAGCACGGCACTCCTCGCGCTCGTTACCGGCGAGTCAATAATGATTATTTTTGGCATTGTTTGTCAACGCACGCTGATAAAACTTTTTGAGGGTGTTCATTATTAATTCTGAAAATGTGTTTTTTTGCGAAAAATCTGTAATTCGGGGCCATGTCCCCCCTTAAATGAAAACCCAGCACTGAACTTGTGAAGATTGTAGCCAAGCTTCCACATGTTAATTTCTAAGATAAGTAGTAGATTTTAGCCTAACTATATTTATTTACTGTTGCCTCCAAAAGTTTAATGCCTACATTAAAACGGCAAGTAAACAACGGATTTGATATCAAATTAAACCTATATGGATGCCCGGCTATACCTAATCAAGGGCATTTAGAAATATTCCTGCTATATGCATATACTGTATTTACTCGCACATTAAACACACTTTTTTTTTAATGAAAAACTGACACATATTTGGAGGGGTGCGTTCATTATGCGAGGTAAGATTTTTGTATCATATTTTCACTTCCAAGAGTAATGTACACCAGAAAACATAAAATCAGTTAAAAGACCAAAATACAGGTTGTCCACACAAGTGAGGGAAGCCCGCTTACGGGAGTGATGACGGTGAGGTCAGGCAGGTGACTGCCTCCGGCCTGCGGGTGGTTCGACAAGATGACGTCTCCGGGAAGGATGTTCTCCCCAAGTGCCTTCATCTGCACAGTGACAAGGGCAAACTCAAGGGCTGTCCGCACTCACACACAAGCAAGAAACTGCTTTTGTAAGCCAGAACACAATGTATGATTTAAAAAAAAGAAGGAAACCTGCAACAAAGGTATTACCTGGTACTGCACAGCCTCCTGCATGGCTCCCAGGTGGACCGGAATGTGCGGGGCGTTGCACACCAGGCCCCCGTCCGGCCCAAACAAGGCGCACGAGAAGTCCAGCCGCTCCTGCAAGGCCCATCGAGTCTGTGCTCAGTCCTCTCTGGCAGCAGTGACAAGCGTGCACAAAAAGCATGGATGTGAACTGTGTCCATGTACTTTTGCTCCAATAAACACTCACTGGTTGGTATTCTGCATAGAAGCTGTGGGCAATATTGCTGCGCGCTGGTGCCGGGAAATCAACGCTCGGTCACGGAGCTCTAGAACGTTCTCGTTTATTCTTGTTCCAGGTGCAACTTCCATCCTTTATTCCTGCTTTCTTGTTCTAGAAAGTGCGTGTTCATTCTCGCCCTGAGCGCGCTACACTCAAACTTTCTCCGCCGAATCTTCGAGATAGTGACTCACTCTTGATAAGAGGCCGCCCGCGACCTAGTCGAGTCAGTCTCGCCCCAGCGCTCGATTCTGCTGACACGCCGACTTCGACGCCCGCGACGCTCTGCTTTCTTCTGCTTCCTTCTTTATTTTTGGCACAAGTTCGCCACATTAAACGTTCATTTATTTCTGTTTATTTCTTGTTTATTGGTCACCACCCGTGACATTCTGGTGGAGGTGCGGGGTACCGCATGTCCGTGCAGCGCAGCCCTCCGTGTTCCCGCAGTACAAGTCCGAACCCAAGCTCCCGAGGACCCAACGAAAACCAGATCGAGACTCGATCAAGTCGCCGCACCCAAGGGCTAAACCCGGAATACGGACTTCTACCACCCAGGACCAGGCAGCCGACGATGGCCAACCAGTCGCAGACCCCCGCCGCTCCTGCCATCGTCTACCTACCCGTCGCTCCTCGGACAGCGGCTCCGTTCCACGGCGAACTCCACGAAGACGTTGAAGATTGGATCGACCAATTCGAACGCGTCGCCCGCCACAATAGCTGGACCAACGAGCAACGGCTGCAAAACGTGTATTTCTCGCTCGAGGGGACTGCCAGAAGCTGGTACGAAAATCACGAGTCTTCATTGACATCCTGGGACATTTTCAAGAGCCAGCTGAAGGCGACATTTGTCAACCAGCACCGCCGAGAGAGAGCCGAAGACTTACTGCGTACCAGGACTCAAGGCCCCAACGAGAGCATCACCGGCTTCGTGGAGGATGTCCTGCGTCTAAGCGCCCGAGCCGACCCGGAGGCCACAGAGGAAAAGAAACTTCGAATCCTCATGCGAGGCGTCAAGGCAGAAATTTTCGGAGGCCTGGTTCGGAATCCCCCGACGACCGTCGATGCTTTCGTCAGTGAAGCCACCAACATCGAGCGCGCACTGACGGCCCGAGCAAGCCACTACCACCGACTCGCCGGCGCGCCTACTGCTCCAACCGTCACAGCTTCCCTACTGAACCCGAATACCAACGGTGTCGACAACCTCCTGGAGATCGTCCGGGATATCGTCCGGGAAGAGCTCCGCAAGATCCTACCTGCTGCAGATAGCCCATCTTCTCTCTCACTCGCCGAAGTCGTACGAGAGGAGGTCCACCGAGCCTTCCAGGCGGAGACTCCTGTCATCGTAGCAGCACCCGAGGAGCCCAGCCTGACCTACGCCGCAGTGGCCCGAAGGCCACCACCTCCTCCTCGAGCCTATGTCGCTCCGCCCCGACGTCGATCTCCTGCGCCGCAGCACGACCGCCACCGCGACGACCAGGTCCAGTACGCCGGCCAGGAGCCCCGCGCACCTCGGAAGACCGACGTGTGGTGAACACCCGACCGACGTCCTTTGTGTTTCCACTGCGGGGAAGCGAACCACACCTACCGCCAATGCCCATACCGGCGACTCGGGCTGCGGGGGTTCCACACGAATGACCCACGCCCCCGTTACGGTGAACGCCCTCGGGAGATCGACGAGTACCTTCGACGACCTCAGTCCCCCGAGCCTGCCTCCCGCCGAGAGTTCCGGTCGCCATCGCCACGACTTCCGGCTTCGCCGATGCACCGACCCCGACGTGAAAGCCTGTCACCCCTCGCTCCTCGCCGGGGAAACTAGGCGCGGCAACCCCTGGAGGTGGAGTTGCCGAAGACGACCGACGTAAAGAGCCTCCAAGAACGACGGAGTGCTCCCACTCTCCAGACGCCACGCATTGCAACGAAGCTTCTGCATCGGTGTCCAACAACCTAAACGTTGTTATCGACGGCCACGACGCATCAGCACTCGTGGACACCGGAGCAGACTACTCAGTCTTGAGTGGGAGGCTCTCCCGCCGTCTTCGAAAAGTCACGATGCCGTGGGATGGACCTCAAATACGAACTGCCGGAGGGCACCTCATCACGCCGGTTGGGAGATACACTGCTCGCGTCGAGATCCACGGTGAGACGTGCCCTGTCAAGTTCGTCGTTCTGCAAGACTGTTCGAGGGACATTATCCTCGGAATGGACTTTCTCTGCGAGTATGGCGCCGTCATCGACCTCGGAGCCAACCGGCTGACGCTACGAAAACCTGCTCCACCACAGGAGGACCCCAAAGCGACGTCATCCGCGGTACGAGTCCTCGCAAACCACGTGAACTTACCACCGCGGTCAAGTGTTTTCGTACCCGTCGGGGTCGATGAGACTTTCTGCGGCGACGTTTTGCTCGAAGGAAGCCTCCAGTTGCTTCTAGGAAGAGGGATCGGCATCGCAAGAGGCGTCACGGAGCTCCAAGACGGACACACTGTCGCACTCGTAACAAACTTCCGATAGGAAACCCAGCACCTTACGAAAGGCACCGCCGTGGGTCACGCCGAGGAACTCCCGGACTCAGCCGCAATCGCCGGAATATCGGAAGACCTCTCTTCGTGGCCACCCAAGACAACGCCGCCTTCGCAGTTTGACATCGATCCAACCCTGCCTACCCCACAAAAACGACAACTCAGTGACCTACTCGCCGAGTTCAACGAGTGCTTCTCCACGTCGTCAAAGGTGCGCCAAACGACCGTTGCGAAACACCGAATTGCCACTGAAGACAACGCGCTTCCTGTTCATCGGTCGCCGTACCGTGTCTCTGTCAAAGAGAGAGAAGTCATCCAGAAGCAGGTCCAAGAAATGCTCGATGACGACATTGTTCAGCCCTCAAGGAGTCCGTGGGCTTCACCGGTAGTCCTGGTAAAAAAGAAAGACGGGACCCTTCGGTTCTGCATGGACTATCGCCGACTTAACGCCGTAACAAAAAAGGACGTCTACCCGCTGCCACGCATCGACGACACCCTGGACCGGCTGCGCCACGCCCGATACTTTTCGTCGATGGACCTGAAGAGTGGGTACTGGCAGATCGAGGTGGACGAACGAGATCGTGAAAAGACTGCCTTCGTCACGCCGCACGGGCTGTACGAATTGAAAGTTATGCCGTTCGGACTATGCACAGCACCGGCGACGTTCCAGCACGTAATGGACACCGTTCTTTCCGGCTTGAAGTGGCAAAGTTGTCTCGTCTATCTCGACGACGTTGTGGTATTCGCCACCAACTTTGACGAGCACCAGAGACGCCTGCGAGCCGTGCTACAGGCTATCCAGAATGCCGGACTGAGACTGAAGCCGTCAAAATGTCGGTTCGCTTATGGCGAGCTCAAATTCCTGGGCCATGTCGTGAGTGCTCAAGGTGTAAGTCCTGACCCTGCAAAGACATCCGCTGTCGCCGAATTTCCGAAGCCATCAGACAAGAAGGCCGTGCGAAGATTTCTTGGGCTGTGCGCATACTACAGGCGTTTCGTTCGCGATTTCGCCAAGATTTCTGCACCGCTCACACATCTGACGAAGGACGACGTGAACTTCCAGTGGGGGGAGGAGCAAGAACAGGCGTTCAACGAACTGAAGGAAAGACTCCAGTCTCCCCCCATTCTCGGACACTTCGATCCATCAGCGGAAACGGAAGTTCACACAAACGCCAGCAACGCCGGACTCGGCGCGGTACTCGTCCAAAGACAAGACGGAGCAGAGAGGGCGATCGCTTACGCAAGCTGGGCACTGTCCAAGGCAGAGAAAAATTACTCAACAACCGACAAGGAATGTCTCGCTGTCGTCTGGGCGTTAACCAAGTTCCGTCCGTACCTGTACGGGATCCCGTTCCGCGTTGTCACGGACCACCACGCTCTCTGTTGGCTCGCCAACCTTAAGGACCCGTCAGGACGCCTCGCTCGCTGGAGCCTTCGACTGCAAGAATTTGACGTAACCATTGCGCATAAGTCTGGCCGCAAGCATAATGACGCCGATTGTTTGTCTAGGGCCCCAATCGAATCTTCACCCGACAGCACCGACGACGACGATGACGCCCGTTTTCTCGGAGCACTTACGGATACTGACATGGGAGCACTTCAACGAGACGAACTCGAACTTCGCGCCGTGATGGACCACCTCGAAGGTCAAGGAAGTTCAGTTCCGCGAGTCTTGGCCCGAGACCTGCCAAGCTTCGTTCTGCGGCGAGGCGTGCTCTTCAAGAAGAACTTCGGAACGAGCAACACTACCTGGCTGCTGGTTGTTCCGGCCAGCCTGCGAGAGGAAATCTTTCAAGCCTGCCATGACGACCCGACAGCTGGACACCTTGGATACAGCAGGACGCTCGCCCGGATTCGTGACAAGTACGACTGGCCGAGACTCCCGAAAACAGTACACCTGTACACACGGTCATGCCGTGAGTGCTAACGACGTAAGAGGCCTCCGACGAAGCCAGCAGGACTCCTGCAGCCGATACCTGCCCCGACTAGGCCTTTCCAGCAGGTCAGAATGGATTTGCTTGGGCCGTTCCCAACATCGACGCAAGGAAATCGGTGGATTATCGTCGCGACCGATTATCTTACACGATACGCCGAGACGAAAGCCCTGTCATCGGGAACAGCAGTCGAAGTCGCCAAGTTTTTCGTCGAATCCATTCTCCTTCGACACGGCGCCCCGGAAGTGCTGATCACAGATCGCGAGTCATCCTTCATGGCACAGCTGACCCAAGAAGTTCTTCGGCTCAGTCATACCAGCCATCGACGAACAACCGCTTATCACCCACAGACCAACGGGCTAACGGAGCAGCTCAACAAGACCATCGCCGACATGATCTCCATGTACGTCGACGTAGAGCACAAGACATGGGACGAGGTGTTGCCGTACGTCACGTTTGCGTACAACACAGCGGCTCAAGAAACCACGGGAATGACACCGTTCCAACTGGTGCACGGCCGGACAGTTACCACAATGGCGACGCCATGCTGCCTCACGTGCCAGCCGACGATGGCAACGACGAAGCTCAACTGATCTCCCAGCGCGCGGAGGAAGCTCGACAGCTGGCAAGAATCAAGATTCAAGACCAACAGCGAGTCGATGCACGCCGGTATAACCTTCGTCACCGAGACGTCCACTTTCAACCCGGAGACCGGGTATGGGTTTGGACACCAATACGGCGCCGCGGTCTCAGCGAGAAGCTTCTGAAACACTATTTCGGACCCTACAAGATCATCCGACGCCTCGGCGATCTGAACTACGAAGTTCTACCCGACGGAACGCGCCCATCTGCAAGACGTCAGCCGCGACCCGAGGTCGTGCCCGTCGTCCGGCTCAAGCCGTATTACGAACGATAGAGCTTTCCACTCTCGTCGACGAGTGAACTGTGAGCTGTGAACTGCGGCTCGCAATTCTGCTGTCCTTTTGTTTTTTTTTGTTTGTTTTCCGTTTGTGCTGCATCGGGACGATGCACTTTTAAAGGGGGGGATAATGCCGCGCGCTGGTGCCGGGAAATCAACACTCGGTCACGGAGCTCTAGAACGTTCTCGTTTATTCTTGTTCCAGGTGCAACTTCCATCCTTTATTCCTGCTTTCTTGTTCTAGAAAGTGCGTGTTCATTCTCGCCCTGAGCGCACTACACTCGAACTTTCTCCGCCGAATCTTCGAGATAGTGACTCACTCTTGATAAGAGGCCGCCCGCGACCTAGTCGAGTCAGTCTCGCCCCAGCGCTCGATTCTGCTGACGCGCCGACTTCGACGCCCGTGATGCTCTGCTTTCTTCTGTTTCCTTCTTTATTTTTGGCACAAGTTCGCCACATTAAACGTTCATTTATTTCTGTTTATTTCTTGTTTATTGGTCACCACCCGTGACAATATCGCTTACTATGGGTTATGCTACCCGTGGAAACTGGCAAAAACATCCGGGCCACACCACAGTTGGCCCACCATTTTGACAGCTCATTTTCTGCATTGATCCCCTTTGGGCTTGTAACTTCCAATACAGACCAAAGTAACCAATTCTTGCAATAGTCAAGCCCAGTTATAACGAAGCCAATGTTAATGGGAAATATGTTTGCTATATCCGGAATTTGTTTCTTCTGAACTTAGCAAAACATAGCAATTTCTTTATGGTTGACGAACTGGAGTGCGTTGGTAGTAAGTTTGTTTGATTTATTTCATTTCAGCTTGTTTAGACATTACATTATGTCTGCGGCACCGTGCCACTAAGTAAATGAAATAACAGAATATTTTATATAAACTCTATCGACAGGCGAGTGAATATCATACATTCAAAAATGCTTCAATAAAGCGAAAAAAGAAAATCAAAACACGTAAGAATAAACAGAGCAACAGCGTCAAGCAGCTGCTAAAAGCAATATACAAAATTTACTATTTCAGTTATCCATGGCTATCATCAGTTTTTTTCCATATTATCTTGTATTTGTTTAGCGAGATACCAGATGTAATGAGTGTATGGAGATGACTATGTGTCAAGAAAGCTTGGAGCTTGATATGCAAGTGTTGTGAGCCCATGTTAGTCCTCATTTTTGACAGTACATACTCCTCATTACGCATTATAATGGTGGTCAGGTCAAGTGCAGAGTGATGGATAGGTTGCCTCTTGAAGACTGGTCCTGGAAAATGTAGAGTGCAAGTCTAAAACTGTATAGTTTATCAAATTCCAGTATTCTAGATTTATCGAAAAGCGGAGTGGTGTGTGTGTCATATTCAGTGTTATCTATTAAGTGAATAGCTTTTTTCTGACAACTACTGTCATATTTGTCTTTGTTGTGTGACCCCCGACAAGAAGGCAGTAGCGGACCTTGCTATATATTAATGCATAATAGAGCTGGTACTTGAGCCATTCCGGTAGAAGATATTTAGCGGAGGTTATTTAGAAGATATTTAGCGAATATTTAGGGGTGACCAAACTCTCCTCAAGAGTTAAATAAAGAAATATCAATTTGGCAGAAAAATTTCCCCGCTAAATTCAGAGGGAAATTCAGCGAACATTTCCCGCTAAATGGGATGGGAGCAGAAGAGGACGAGGAGAGGGAGAGGAGGACATCACAGAGAATTGTAAACGTCTTTAATTTTTTAAACACGAGACCTCGAAGGGGTTAAGCTCATTCTTTCGCGCTAGCGGAAGCTAAACAAAACACTGTCTCAGCACGAGACTCCACATCTTCAACAGCCTTAATTTACCTTCAACAGCCTTAATTTACCAGCGGCCGTCCCCTCTAGGCCGAAACAAAAGAGGCCGAAAGACCTTTCAATTTACCTTGATGTTTGTGGAGATGGCGGTCCTCTGCAAGATCCTGCGGCCAAAAAACTTGCTTGAGTGCCTGCGGCGTGCCCCTGCGGGAACACACTCACTTGCCCATCTGCTCGGCTATGCTCATGAACCGGTGCGAGAAGAGCGACAGGCGCACTGCGTCTAGCTCCAGACCAATCTTCTCCCGGGCCGGCTGGTTCACCTGCGGTGGTTGCCACCATGCGCCCATGACACACTGCCCACAAACGTACAAGGTGGGGCACACGAGGGGTACAGGTACAGTGCCTACAACGTGTCTCCAATGAGTGTCTAATTGTGGGCTCCTGCAGAACTTTTTCCCGAGGTGGGGGAGGCAAACTCATTCTACCAGAAGGGGGGAGGGGGGTGCGCAATTAATCTTTAGACAGGAGCAACCCTGGAATGATGGGGCAGAAGGGTCGCTGTGGCAAGCCACGATTGGCCTAACGCAGGGGTTCTCAAACTGGGTTCCGGGGAACACAGGGGTTCCATGAGCTGGTCTCATGGGTTCCGCAAACACCCAAATTGCAACCCCCCCCCCCCAAGCCGCAGGCTGCGCAGCAGGACCATGCAAAAGCGCCTTCATCTCACTTTGTACTGACATTGCGATTGATATGGTGAGGATATATGGGAAGCAACACAAGCAAAATTGCCTACAATTGTGCATCTGTTGCTTTTCGGTCGGCAAATTTGGGGGGGGGGGGGGGGGGAGGGGGAGGGGGAGGGTTCCGCGGCCGTTTTTGAGGCTTCCTGGGGTTCCGTGAGACCAAAAGGTTTGAGAACCCCTGGCCTATCGGGCACCACAATGTTTTAGTAGGATCATAGCCGCTTAGGTCATATTATTCCAGTTTTATCGACGAAAATAAGAGCAACTTCAGACCGCCAATTTTGAGGGTGTAGATTTCATGAACAGGATGTCTTCGAGCTTCCGTATTGCTTGTTACACGTACCATCAAGGTTGTTGCGTTCACATTCGATAATCCTATAATCGTGCCGTCAGGAGTACGAACCCTAAAGCCACAGTCACACTGTTCATACATGTGTTAGCGCCGTCCCCAAAGACGACGAAGAGTACCCCAAGAGCGCTCCACAATCCGCGTGACTTAGAGTTCTTTTCTCGGTAGCCATACCTGCCTGACGTATATTAAACGTCCTTTCCTAACCTTCTCTCGGCCGCCCCCGTCTTCAATGTCGAGACCGTAACATCTCAGAAGTGGGATAGCCAGCGAACATGGCCCACTTCGGATCGAATCCTGCGGCTACGACTTGGCACAGCGGCGCCAAACGAAACCTCGACATGGCTGAACCGAACGAGGAAGGTCAGCGGCGCAGCGAACGGAACCGGACCCGACAGACTGCGGCAGCGGGCCCTCTTCGACTTCCAGTCACCGTTACTACTGGAGCAGGGAGCACAGGCCTTGGCGCGATGGCGCGACCACGAGCCAAGGTAGTGTGGCAGCTGGAAATCCTGAACTCTCCGACACCAGTAATCAAGGACAAGGAACATCGGTCACGAGCCCATCGATCGTCCCTCCGGCAATTCAGACTGGAATGAAAGTACCGACAGGCGACCTTCCTGGACTTAATTCTCTTGTACACGAGGCCGTACAAGCCGCTGTGCGAGGAGCAATCACGGGCTTGGCTGACCTGCTACGTTCCACAGCTCAGCCCACGAATGACGCAAGACCACCGACAGACTCTGGTAAGCTGGTACCAGTGTTCAACCCCGTGACGAATCCAGCGCAGACCATCGAACATTGGATAAGAAAAGTCGACGAACTCTCTGTGATATACTCATGGAACGAGCGACAGACGTCGTGTTTTGCTCTGACGAAACTGGAAGGAATCGCTAAAACATGGTACGACGGCCTCGTCAGTGTCCAGCGCTCGTGGCTTGAATGGAAGGCGGAGCTGAAGAAAGCTTTTCCACCCGTCACATGCTTACAGCGCCGGCACCAAGAGATGGAAGCGAGATGGAAATTGGCAAACGAAACTGTCGAGCAGTACTTTCATGAAAAAGTCAGCCTAGCTCGACTCTGTCAACTTCCTGAAGATCAGATCGTGGATTATGTCATAACCGGCCTCAATGACGAATCTCTCGTTCGAAGTCTCAGCGTTGTCAAATTCCCGACACCGGAGGCTCTGCTGGAATGTCTAAAATGTTTGGACGACCGACTCGCCGTCATTGAGGAAGCGTCCCATCGGTCAGATGTGGCGACCGTTTCGGCGACTGTCAAGACAGTCCCATCGAATCACCGATCCACCCAAAGAGTTGTTAAACGAAAACCGGCCTTCAACTCTAGCGGTGAGCCGCGCTGTTTTAACTGCGACGAATACGGACATATATCTGCAAACTGCAGTAAACCACAGAAGCGAGAACGCTGCAGCAAATGTCAACGGATAGGACATAAAACAGCGGACTGCAGAGCAAGCGCCAAAGGTAGTACGAACGTCAAAAGTCATCACATTGAAGATAAACAGGAAGTGAATGCACGAAACGAGAAGTACTTTCAAGATGCTCTGGTAGACGGGAAGCCCATTCGAGCTTACGTTGACCTTGGCAGTCAGTGCGTTACGTTGCGCAAGATAGATGCCGACGATTTGGGAATCAGCTATAACGAGCCGTCCCGAAGATGCAAGATTGCGGGCTACGGTTCCGGTCAAGTTCTGCCGTGTGGAATGACGGAAGCAAGCATCACAGTGGACCAAGCTACAGCCCGCGTTCCAATCTACATTGTTCCAAGTGAAGCGCAAGCGATTCCGCTTCTCGTTGGAAAGCCATTTACTGAGCAACCACATGTCACGATCGTGCGAAGAAGGAACACACTTCGCATTTCTGAAGAGAACGGCAGCTTTGCTGATGAAGATGACCAGCTTCGATTCGTTCAAGTTCCTGATCTTCCGCCACGTTCTGTCACGCTCTGGGCCAAGGAGTCTGTCGTGATTCCACCAGACTACGTGGGAATTGTTCGTCTGACGACCAAGGAATCCGCCACAGGACACGTCCTCGTTGACGCACAATTTCGAACGCAAGAGGGCAGGGAACACTGTCTGCCTGCTTGCGTAATCGACGTCTCGGAAGGCGGCAGCACTGTTTTGCCTATTTTGAATGTATCGAAGTCCGACCTCCATATTTCGAAAGCAGAAGTTGCAGCCAGAGGATCCTGGTGTTCAGGAACAATTGAGACTACGTGCCAGCGAAAGACGACGGATATGTTGGAACCGATTAAGGCGGAGGATATACGAAAGGGGCCTCAGGTGACTGCTGAAGAATTTGACAGGCTGCTAGAGTTCATTAACGAGTACCGTGACTGCTTTGCCCTCAACGTCTTCGAGCTTGGCTCTACGAGTGCGACAGAGATGAATATCGAGACTGTTCCTGGGGCAAAACCAGTATCTTTTCGTCCATACCGGCTGTCCTACGACCAACGCACTCGAGTAAACAAGGCCGTAGAAGAACTGAAAGAAGCAGGTGTTGTCCGCGACTCATCATCCGAGTATGCGAGCCCACTACTTGTCGTAAAAAAGAAAACTGGAGAGGAACGACTTTGTGTTGACTACAGAGCGCTGAATGCGATTACTAAGAAGGATAAGTATCCTCTACCTCTTATCGAAGATCAGCTGGACCGACTCCAGGGAAACTACTGCTTTACGACGCTTGATCTGGCATCGGGCTACTACCAAGTTCCAATGGCTAATGAGTCCCGAGCTAAGACTGCTTTCGTGACGCCTGACGAACATTACGAGTTCTTAAAAATCCCGTTCGGTCTTTCAACGTATGATGAATGCCGTATTGGGACCGTTGCGATATGGTGTCGCCCTAGCGTACATGGACGACGTTCTTATCCCTTCCACCGATTTAATGAGGGTCTTGCTCATCTCGAGCAGGTCTTCCAGGTTCTACGAGCTGCGAACCTTACGCTTCGTGTAAGCAAATGCAGAGAAAGTCACGTATCTGGGCTTCGAGATCGGAGCGACTGGACTCAGACCCAGCGACTACAAAGTGAAGGCTCCAATTGACTTTCCAACGCCGTCCTGAGTGCACGAAGTCCGACAGTTTGTTGGACTGGTCAGTTACTTCAGACGGTTTGTCAAGAATTTGGCAACTCTCGCACAGTCATTAACGAAGCTTCTAAAGAAAGACGCACCTTGGGAGTGGACCACAGAGCAGGACACCGCATTCAGTGTCCTAAAGCTGCGCTTGCAGGAACACCCTGTGTTGGCCCTGTACAACCATGAAGCCCCGACGGAAGTTCACACAGACGCAAGCAAAAAGGGGTTGGGGGGCATGCTACTTCTAAAAACAGAGTGATGGCCACTTCCACCCCGTGATTTACGTAAGTCGCCAAACGTCAGAGGGACGTTATCATTCATACGAGCTGGAAGCACTCGCCGTGGTGTGGACGTTGGAACGACTCAGGACTTATCTTCTTGGAATCGATTTCAACGTTGCCACGGACTGCAGCGCCCTACGGGGAACGATGAGCAAACGTGAACTCATACCCCGAGTGGCACACTGGTGGTTGCGGTTGCAAGAATTCACCTTCACGGTTATTCACAGAGATTCAGCGTCTATGCAGCATGTTGATGCGTTGAGTAGGTCTCCGACTGGACCAGCGGAAGAAATGGAGGCGTGCGAAGGACTCCATATCTACGCTACAGCGATGGAAGAAACGGATGACTGATTGGTTGCCGTGCAACTACTGGACGCCGATGTGAAACACATCAAAGAGGTTCTGGAGAAACCTGCGTCCTCGGCCGAGGAGCGCCGCATCCACTCCGAGTATAAACTCCAGAGGAATGTTGTCTTCCGAAACATTGATGAAGACTCATCAAGGCTACTGTGGCTTGTTCCGAAACCACTGCGTTGGCAGGTTGTGTGACGTTCCCATGATGATCTGGGGCATGTGGGGACGGAAAAGACAATCAAACGGATCCAGGAGAAATACTGGTTCGCAGGAATAAAGCGCTATGTACGGAGATACGTCGCCTCATGCGCAGAGTGCCTCTATAATAAGACGCCAACAGGAAAGAAACCTGGCATGCTTCATTCCATCGACAAGGTCGGTGTTCCGTTTCACACACTCCATCTGGACCACTTGGGACCGTTTCCAAGATCCAGACACGGGAATACGTACCTGATTGTAGCTGTGGACGGGTTCACAAAGTTTGTGATACTCACACCTGTTAAGAACACAGGAGGCCAAGCGACTACGCGATGCCTGCGACACATCGTTGGACTTTTTGGACCGCCGACGCGAGTAATCACGGACCGAGGAGTGGCGTACACTAGCACGACATTCAAGAAGTACTGTGAAAACTCTGGCATCATTCACATTTTGACTTCAACAGCCACACCGCGTGCGAATGGTCAAGTCGAGCGTTTCAACAGGACGATCACTCCAGCGATTGCCACTTTGACAAAGGACAAAGGTGAGGAGATCTGGGATGAGGTTGCTGACCTTGTTCAGTGGAGCCTGAACAACACGTACCACAAAGCAATAGACAGCACACCGTTCAGATTGTTGTTCAACTTCGAGTCAAGAAGCTTGAATGGCGATCACCTCGATGACGCTTTGTGCGACCTGTCTACTAAAACTAGCGAGGAGATGTCAAATAGAAGGAAGGCAGCTATCCAAGCCATCCGACTTGATCAAGAGAGGCAGAAGTGTCGCTACAACCAGAAGCGACGACATGCTGTAACGTTTGAACCGGGAGATATTGTTGTGGTTCAGCGAGAACCGACGTCGATAGGAGAATCCCGCAAGTTGCAGGAGAAATACAAAGGTCCGTACGTAGTCACAAAGCGACTTCCCAACGACACCTATCGCATCGAGGACATACCTGGCCACCAGCGGACTCAACGTTATTATACTTCCAACAGTTCCCGTCGATAAGCTGAAACGACTCAACACATTCGATATGGACAGTGAAGAAAGTTCTGAAGAAACATCAAGTGAGGGCACTTGATTGCTAGGATGGCCGAATGTTAGCGCCGTCCTCGAAGACGACGAAGAGTACCCCAAGAGCGCTCCACGATCCGCGTGACTTAGAGCTCTTTTCTCGGTAGCCATACCAGCCTGACGTATATTAAACGTCCTTTCCTAACCTTCTCTCGGCTGCCCCCGTCTTCAATGTCGAGACCGTAACACATGGTACAAAAAAAATGAGACGCCAAATGAGAGCACAGCTCTTGAGGAGAAGGAGGGGAGGGTACGGAGAGGAGGGCATGCCCCTCCTCCTCCTCCGTACCCTTTGCGACTATATAAAATTAGATTTCATGAAGCCGGTTATTATGAACTTAAATTTTGCACTTTCATGTTCCTTTATTATGAAAAATTTTAATTTGCAAAACTCAATAAATGTTTTTTATTCATTTGTTTTCTTCAGCTGAAAAATGCATCTTTTGTGAAATTTCTTTTCGTAGTAACTGGCAACAAATATTCCAGTATGCATTCCACCAGAAACATAAGTGGTTATCAACGTACGCTATTTCTCGACGATATTCATCGAGCAGATTCCATGCCAACCTATGCTTTACTTTGTTCCGGGGAGATAGTACGTCATAAAATTGGTTCACCAGGCTGAAAATTTCCATGCCCCCCTTCTCCATGGTTACAAACACAACATGCAAATTTCATGCCGATGGGAAGAGCGGTTCAGATGTTGACATTCCCAGGTAGCGCCCTCCCTTAGTACCTACTTACTGCACACATACTCTGTATTCAATTTAATATTCAAAGTCAGTTTTCTTCTATAGTCATATCCGATTCATATTCAAAAGTGTCAATATTAGCGCACCCCTAACAACAATACAAATAAGATATCTTAATACATTGTTTTTCAAGCTCTAATATTTCTTGCTTATGATCTAATTTCAAACACACAAACAGCTATGGCAATCCAAAGGTGGAAAATTATCATCACGCTTGCCCAAGTGTAGCCCTTCTAATTAACAAGTTATAAAGTAAAAAAAAAAACCCCAAAACTAATAGAAACTTTTTAGATAGTATAAGAAATGGTGCTATCAAAGTCTCTACCTTTGACAATTGGCAAAATATCTAAATTAGCCTCCAATCCTTTCGAAGCAAATTCCCACGAAAACAAAAAGCAGGTTCTTTTTATCCACCAAATTTCCCTGATTTTTTTTTTTTTTTTTTTTTTTTTTAACTTTTTACAGAGTTGTTTTGCCTATCTTGGCCTTTCAAGGTGGGAAAAATGCCTACCCACTTGCACGCATGTCCACTGTGGCACGTTTTGTTGGCATTGGAAAACAGGTGAAACAGTAAGGTTCAATCCCATCGAACTGCAACACTACACTGGGGCAGTGAAGAGTGTTGCTTGTATTCAGAAATGGCCGTTTGGGAGCCACGATCGCGAGCAGTTCTGCTGCACCGAGCGAGCGAGTGAGTTGGGGGACCCTCGCTAGAGCGCTTTGTGTTCTTGGCACGAAGGGCGAGCAACAAACTGGAAACGTGAATGGTTGTTTCATTCACAGCGTCTCGCTCCACTGAGGCCATTTATAGTTACAAAATTAAATGCCGCATTTCAGCTACGCTCAAGATGGCTGGTTTGCATGTAGGCCGATCTGGCGGTAGTGGCAATCGGAGCATCGGCTCATGCTTCTCAGAATTGAATTGAGAGGTTGACAGCTTTTGAGTCGACAAGGGAGCTCCCTAAAGTACCTCTGATCTGGTTCGAGACCGTCAGAATGTCGTAAAAGTGCACAGGAAGTGGACATGCCAAAATAAAACTTAACAAAAAAATAGGTGGCAACAAATTTTCACACTTTCTGCTCAGCAAGAGATCATGAACAGAAATTTGGATTTCACAAAATAAGTTGCAGACGCACTGAATGGGACGCCACAAACTCCAAAACATCACTTGTACGTCGATATCTCATAAGGACACCCGTATTTTTGAAAAAAAAGGGCACGATGAAGCGAGGACTGTGAAGTCACAATTCTCCTGCAACAGCTGACAATGAGAGAAAGCGGCCTCGCTTCTCTCCTTCTCGTTTACTTTTTTATTTATTTATTACTTTTGCGGTGCCCCTCAACAGCCCAAGAGCCTACAAGAGGGTGCACCGAAGTGCGTACATGCTAGAACACAATGCATAAAATACAAAATACAAGAACATGCCTAGAAAAAAAAAAAAGGTTTACATGTTTGATAACAGCATTGATGCAAAAACTTGCCTACTTAAAGTTTAAATACGTTCCCCAGCTTAAGGGGATGAAGGGAAGAGAAGAAGGAATGAGAATCATGACGCGACACGTCTCGTCGGCCTCGTCAGCCGTGTTCAATTACGCACTTCTTTTCCAAAAATACGGTCGCGCGCTTCTTTTCCAAAAATACGGCCAACCGTTACGGATATCACTGTACGAGTGATGTTTTTGGGTTTTGCATTGTCCTATCTGTCGGTCCAGCCTTGTTTTGTGAGCTCCCTATTTCGGTTGAGTATCCCTTTAATGTTTCCATTTATTGCTTTTCAATCTAAACAGCTTGCAAGCATTGTTCATATGGCATTTGATAATTAAAAAAAAAAGAAACCGGTGCAAAGACCTATTCTTTGCATTGCCCCTCTAGAAAAAAAAAAGAAAAAAACTCCATCCACTAAAACAGATTAAAAACAAAAGGATTGAAGTGGGTTGTAGAACAATTTGGCCCTCGCTGCGTGCATGGATTCAGTAACACTTTGTGCAGTCAACTTTGCTAGCCCTTCCAAACCTGCAGCATAAATTAGGGACGAAGGTAAATATAGGTACACTACCGTGATGCAGACGTCTCCCTGCTCCAAGACTTGCGCATGACAGCCTGGCTCCACTACTATGGTGCTGCACAGAGGAGTTATTCATATTGGTGACAGATCAACAGACCTAGAGAAGCAGGTGTTGAAAACTGGGCTAATTCATAACAATTCATTATAAAAGAATGGAGCGTATCGAAAACATGGGGTCCAAAGATAGATACAGTAAAACCTCGTTATAAAGAATTTGAAAGAGCGGTCATAATTATTTCGTTATAACCATTAGTTTGTTATAGCCAATGTCCATTTCTTCTAACTATTCAAGCAAGGGGAATTATGATTGCTTTGTTATATCCATTAGTTTGTTATATCCCATTTTGTTATAACGAGGTTTTACTGTACATACAACAAATGAGCACTCGCAACATTTATTTTTATACTTAGTGAACAGTAAGTCTGGTCTGCTTATGCGCACAGTTCCCTTTAACCCATTGGCTACTATGCGCATCGCATGCTGCCGGGCCCTCTGTGCCGCACATTTTTCTCCTAAAACGAGACCACGCTAGGCATGAGTGTTTTGCTTGTATTATGAGCTTTTACAGTAAAACTCAGTGCGGAAAACAAGAAAACATGTTTATTTACATGCTTAAGTGGTTCGTTCTAGTCTACAAATCACTAGGCCCTTATAGATTATTCCTCATTTGAAAGGTCTTGAAGCACTCCATCCTCGGTCGCTTAGGCATCGCACAACCAGTGCTATCTTGACGTCATTCGGACTCAGAACTGCTGTCGGTATCGCTCCCATCGTCGACAGGAGGCTCTGAAAACTCACTACAGTCGAATCCGGATATATCAAATTCAAAGGGGATCGTAAAATAGTTAGATATATCGATAATTTGATATACAAAAATATGTTAGCTTAAGCTCCAGTTCAAATTTCTGCAAGTCTCTGCTAATATTAAAGGTCGAGACCAACGGAACCTTACCAAGTAGAGCCTTTAAGAGAAGCTAAATACGGAAAAAGCGAGCCGCATAAAAAGAAACTCTCGATCCATAGAATAAAGTTAAGCAAGCAACAAAAAAGAAACCTCACTAAATTCAGGCAGCAAAAAAAGAAAGGCAAAAAAGAAGAACCGGGCAAAGCAATAACGGCGAAACAAAAAGGTAAACAAAGATAAGGCATTCAAAGTGCGATTGCTCAACTGCTGTTGTCAACACACTCCACAAAAAAAAAAAAATTTTTTTTTTGCTTATTCTATTTTGGGGCTAAGCGACAGCGGTGGTTGGGGAAAGGGTGCATGCCACCATTCCAACGGCAAGCACTCTCTGCCCTCCCTACGCATGTTTGTGCCCTTCCCCTTGTTTTCGCTATCCTTCACTTTTTACACGGAGCAGTTAAGGGCTAGTTTCCCCAGGATCGTGACCCCCGCAAAGAAATGTCGACACAAAACTCTGGTTGCTGCCGTCACTCATAGATGGCGGGAGCTGTCCAGAGTGTTGTGTTTGCCGGTTGTCCGCTTGCCGCCGTCACTCATAGATGGCGCAACCTTTCGAGCCTCTCCACTCTGGCTTGCCGATTTGGTCGGCGATTACTTCATTCCCACCATAGTACAGGTTTGCTGGTCTTCCTTCTTCACCAAAGTGGAAAGGCTGAAATTATTTTTTTATCTTTTTTATGGCTATTTTTTATTTATTTTTTTACAACTGCTTTTTTGCTGTGTATCCCTGTACGCGTATGCTGGCTTGGCAGTCTGCCAGCCCCGCAAGGCGAGCGCCACCCACAATCCAACTGAGGGAGAAGCGACGGGCAGCCGTGCTTGGTTCGCTATAGCAAGTGTCCCCGCCATGGGAGTTCAATACAGAAAAACAATGCTCCTATACTATTACATGTGATTTTCAAGGGGATGTCTGGACTGTTTGATATAAACAGTAGTTCGAAATACCCGGGTGTGATATAACTGGGGTCCATTGTATCCTCACCAGACGTCAGGTCATCATTGCTGTCGAAGAAGATATCTATGATTTGATCATCAGAAAGGCCTCACCGTACACTGGGCGCTGCCACCTTCTCTAAGCAGGCAGCGATCGAGTGAGAAAAATGACACACAATAGAACAAGCTTAAACAAACACAGCGAACAGAATGACTCATGCCATCTGTTGGCAATGTATCTAACTACACAACCCCAAGTCTACATAGCGCGCCATCTATGAATGGCTCTTTAAAACAGAAATTCACGCAGACCAGCAAATCGCCGGCTTTGGCAATATGGCCCCTGATGGCGCACCCGGCAATTCGTCAGCTTTGGCAGCGAATAGGTTAATCTATCATGGAGGAGCGAAAAGCCTCCTTGTAAATCATAACAATGGTCATGAGAAAAAAACCACCATCAACTAGCTCAACTACAAACATGTGTTCTGGTTGAAGAAAAAAATGTGCATGCTTTTCGTCCATAAAAAGAATGAGATGACTTAAACTTAAAGTTCTTAGACCAAACGCCTCTAAAACTTCATGTGCTCGTTAAGTCTGTCAAATATCTCTGTGTTTTTGGACAAAAGAGAGCACCGACACATTGACTGTCGTCACATGCGTCAATGTCGGCATGCAGACAGGATCAAACACCAGTGATAGACCGGATCTATGTGGCACTAATGGCTGCTTTCATGGCCACCCCATGTTCCCGAATGTTTGAAACCAAAACACGAAATAACATACGACAAGATTCGACTGGCACTTATCGCAAGTGGCACAAAAAAAATCATACAAGCTTTATCATGCTGACTAAGACTGCTAAGCACAGAATGTGTGCCTTCCAAGGAAAAAGAAAAGGATGTAGCGCGTGACTGCTCACTCGCACGCCCCGCACCGAAGACTTTGGTTTTGAGTAATCCGACCAACGGTCCTGGATAGCTCAGTGGGCTGAGCTTTCCAGGGTAGCACTTGGCTTGCAATCGCAAGGTGGTGGCTTCAATGCCTGCCAAAGGGACCAGAGTCTTTTTATATGGTTCCCTATGGGCATAACGCTTTTCAGTGTCATTACAGCCGGCCACTAAAGAACTCAATGAAAATCGGCTGATAAAACACAGACAGTCAAACCCATCTATAACGATCCCACATATAACAACCTATCGGTTACAATGACCAGCTTTCAGAAAATATATGAATTCAAGGCCTTACCCATTAAAATTGTTCCAGATAAAGTTTTTCAAAGCATCATACTGTTATAACAAACACTCGAAAACCGCTTTCGAAGAAAAAAAAAAAATCTTGCGCGCGAGAAAAGAAAAGATTAAAAGAGCTACATTTTGGGCACAGTGCTACGGGAGACGTTCAAGGTCATTTCCATGGCTGCGCGGCATACTTCCCCAGGGAGGAAACAAAACTACAAAAGCAAAAAAATCGTGGTGGCTTAGCTCGGCTATGCCAGGATATACGTAGCGTGAGCTTATGCACAGAAAATGAGAGGCGCTGTCAAACGGCTCCGGTGCAGCAACAGACTTGTCTACTGCGCAACGGAGGCGCACAGCTGGGCACGCGGCGGCGCCAGTGCATCTGCCGCGGCTATGACATCACTCCTCTGGAATGCGCAGACCGGCGAGGCAAGCGCAGCGGTGGTGGCTCCGGCGCGCCAGCTGTGTACCGTGTGACGTCACTGCTCCTCGCGCATGTGCAGCACGGAGCACGGCTCATTATGCCAGCCACACGAAACTGCTCAACCTCGGCCAGTGTAGCTCACGCTACAAAACGCCCTCCCGGGTCGCGTAGTCCGCCGACTGTGCGTGTGCAGGAAGGAGAAGAGGGGGAGAAGGAGGAAGTCAACTCTCACGCCGTGCTGCGTTTGTTCGTTCTATGCAAACTCCGTATTCAACTCAAGAAAAACTCAATGCTCGGAATAAGGTGGCTAGCCCCATCACCATCATGACCGTATCATGCACATTCTCGAACTTGTGTCTGTCGTTTTAAGATGGGAAAAAAAACTTTCAGCCTTTCCACTCTGGAGAAGGAAGACCAGCGAAGCTGTACTATGATGGGACGACCCCAAGCACGACCTCTTAGACGACCTCAAGGAAAACGCCTAGAGGATGACATCTAGGACGACCTCAAGGATGACGTCTCGGACGACCTCAAGGATGACGTCTAGGACGACCTCAAGGATGACCTCAGGGACGACTTCAGGGACGAAGTCTAGGACGACCTCAAGGACGACTTCTAGGACAACATCTACGACGACCTCAAAGATAACTTCTCAGATGAACTCTAGGCCAACCTCAAGGATGACTTCTAGGACGACCTCAAGGACAACCTTAAGGACGACCTCAAGGACGACTTCTAGGGCGGCCTTGAGGACGACATCTAGGACGACGCCTAGAGAAATTCAGCCTCTCCACTCTGGTGAAAACTACATTGGAAAGGCTGGAAAGGTTGCTGCCATCTATGAGCGAGGCCGGCAAGCCGGTTGTCTGGTTGCCGCCGTCGCTCATAGATGGTGGTACCTGCCCAGAGTTTTGTGTCGACATTTCTTTGCGGGGGACACAATCCTCGGGAAACTAGCCCTTAACAGCTGTACTGTTAAAAATTATACTGGGAGGTTTTATTTAAACGAAAGGGCATCACGCTGGCCGAAAAAAATACAACCGAGCAGCACTGCGTGGCCTCGCAATCCCAACCGCCCGACGAGCTTGCAAAGTGTTGTTTGAAAGACAACCCTGCCAGAGGAGATGGCCCCGCACTCGTACATGCGCAGGAAGTGCGGCACTTAAAATTAGGGGTGTGCTAATACTCGAATATACGAATTCGATTGAATAGAAAGTTCCCGAATAATTCGATTCGCGAATCGAATTCCTAGTATTCGGTTCCTCGAATATTCGGTATATTCGGCCAAAGACGCGAGGTGGGCGCGGAGCAAACAAAAAAGCAGTTTTTTCTCCCGATGTAAGCGCCGTGATGTTAGACAGACCATGCGAGAAACACCTCTTGGTCCGACCATTCCACAAAAACCTAACGCACAGGTTAGAAAACAGAAAAGTAACGAACGCCACAAACTTTATAGCACGAAGATTTACTCACGATCATGACACAATCTACCCTT